CTTCAGTCCCGACGCTTCAGGGGGCTACATTCGGCGCTGGGGCTCCTGATTTCTGCGGTGTCACGCTTGGTCCTGGTCGCCCACCGCCGCCCCCTTGCCATCAGGGCGGGGCGGCCCCAGACCTGGAAGGACCTCGGGGCCGGAAAGTTCCCGCTCCAGGCCGCCCTCGCCGTCATCGAAGGTGCTGTCCCTGCCGCTGACCTCTCGGCCCTGGCGGACCGCGAGTGTGCGGTGTGCGAACTCTACGTCGACGTGCTCGGGTCCAGCATCGGCCTCGCCGCAGACCCTGCAGGGCAGGCAGGCAAGGTCGCCTGGATTGGCGGGGGGTATTCATTCACGCACCTGCACCTGGACGCGCCCGCCCCACTCGGGCCCCGCCCTGGCGCGACGCCACGGCCTCCCTGGATGGGCGAGCGCGACGCCAAGTGGGCGAAGGGGCAGAACAGGGCCGACTTCTACTGCCAGAGGTGCCTCCGTGGCCCGTTCACGCGCGACAAAGGGGGCGTGCGTCAGCAAGCGGATCCGCCAGGGCATCGCGGTCAACAGGCTGGCGGAGTACTGCCAAGGGAGGGACCTCACCTGGCTGTGCATGTGCTGCTGGACCACGAAGGCCATGGAAGAGCGCCGGCCCATCCCGGAAGACGTGGAGTTCAAGGACTGGCTCAACGATCGCCACGGCGACATGCCGGCGCGCGCGACGCGTGCCCTGCCAGGGCTATGCCCAACGCCGGCGCCCACGGCATTCACGCCCCTGGAGCAGTTCCTGGCCCCACTGGACGTCGAGTTGAACCTGGTCTTCGTGGGGGCCACGCTACCAGCCAGCAGCGCGAACGACGACCGCCTGATCTCCCATTTCCACAAGAGCAACGTCGGCATTTGGCGGTGCGACGGCTGCCCGCCCGGCGCAGAAGGACGCATGTGGCAACCTGGGCGGCCCTTCCCTGGCATGTACGGCCACGCCGCTGACCCTGAAGGCCTCCGCGCTGGCCCAACCCTGATTCACGGGCTTCCGCCCGTCCAGCTCATGAAGGAGATGTTCCTGTCGAAGCGCTGGCGCGCTGGCTGGTGCTGCAAGGACATCCTGATCCACCAATGGGATATGGCCTCGTCCGCAGTGCAGCGCGTGCTCGACATGTACGGCCCTGCGGTATACCCTGGCCACGGAGCCAGAGCCTTCGCCGCGCTGCCCGGCATCCCCGCCGCCCCCGCGGGGGTTGCATTGCGCCCCGGCCAGCAGGAAGTGCAGCGGCGGGCTGCGGCCTGGGATGGGGGGGCGCGCGCCCGCCAGGAGCGCCTTCGCAGCGCCCCGCCGCCCCGACCAGGGCGAGCAACAGCGCCGTGCCTGGGCGCGAAGGGTGACGGCCAGGGAGACGCACGCAACGGTTGTGGCACAAATCAGGGGCCAGGGGGCCGGAGGGATTCGCGGCGGCGAGACCAAGCGCGCGGACGCCGCTGCCATCGCGCCAGCTCAGCCGACCCCGCAGCCCGCGACCAGCAGCGGGCCCTGGCAGGGCGACGCCCCCCGGATGGACGGGCGCTACAACCGTGCCCCCGACCAAGCAAAGGCCCATCACGGACCGGCGCCCGACGCCCGCCGATCCACTGCCGCCCGCGCCGCGCGACCGCGAGCCGGCCTCGATTCCTCCCGCTGCGCGACCCGCGGCTACCAAGTCCGCGGGGGCCCCACCGGCTGCCAACGCAACCCCTGGTCCTCTCCTGGAGCGCGCGGATCCCGACCGCCGCGACCGGCGGCAAGGGCGAATCCCAGACAAACCCCTCCAGGGCCTCGCCCGCCCGATCGCAGCGGACAGCCCAGACGTCGAGAGCGGCGACTGCGTGGTCACCAGGAACGACACCCTCCCCCGAGCCAGGTGGTTTAGATCGGCGCAACGCACTGAGCCCCTGTTCGCGCAGCCCCTGGGCGGAGCAATGATCGGACCCATCCGCGATGTCCAGGCCCGCGATAAGGACGGACGAGCCCTGATCGTCCAAATCGACGACGAGTGGCTTGAAGTCTGGGGCGCCGGGGCCAAGACGCTACGCGCCGACGTCCCGCGCGGCAGCGCGGCGCGCCGTGCAGCCGCCTTCTTGAATGGCCCCCCCGACAAGGCACAAGCACCGCAGGAGCCAGCGGCCCCTGCCAGCTCCTGGCTCGGCGCTGACCCTGGAAACGGCACAGCGGCGTCTGCAGAAAGGGGCTCAGCCCGAATCCAGGCCCCAGCCCTGCTCGCCACGCGCGGTCGCGCGGGGCCCCGTGCACGAGCCGCCGCCGCACGGGCGCGCCAAGGAGGAGATCCCCGACTGCGCCAACGACGACCGAGAGGAGGAACAGGCTTAGAGGCTGGCGGAGGCCGCAGGCACGGTCCACGGTCCCACCCCCCCAGGCCCTGGAACTCGCAGGCAGGGCCGCGTTGGGGCGACCCCGCGGGAGATGCGACGCAACAGTCCTGAGCGCGACGCCGACAGGACACACCGGGCCCGCGCGTCCATGGGACAGGCCGAGCTTGCGATGGCCGCCGCGGACGACAGGACCGTGCCCTGCACGCGCGGCTCAGGACCGCGGCCACAGGGGCCCCCACCCTTCGCGCGAATGCGGTCGCGCGCGCGGCAGAGTGAGCGACCCAGCTCTCTGGGGCCGATGCGACAGTGCGGCGCGGCGCTCGTCCAGAGATGCCAGCGACTGGGGCCGAGCCGGAGAGCGCGACCGCGACCGGGACTGCGATCGTGGCAGGGGCGGAGGGTGGGCCCCTTGGCAGCGACGCGGCGATCGCCGCAACCCTGAACGCACGGATGATCGCCGCCGCCCTGATCACAACCGCCCCTGGGAAGACCGCCGTGTCAGCTGGCCGCGACGCCCGGACGAGACGGCGGCCACCCACCTGAAGAGGCTGACGGCCGAGGGGGGTTACTACTTCACCGCAGCCTGGCACTCGTAGCGCAGGCATATGGGCCAGGAGCGGGGCAAGACCAAGGGCCTAGTCAAATTCGACCCGACCTGCTGGCACCCCGACATGATCGATCGATTCCTGGAGGGAATGGCCAACAACCGCTGCGACATGGGTAAGTGGTCCCGGAACGCGGGCGTCCACGTGGACTGGGAACGCGAAAACACCCTGTACCAGGAGTTCCAGCGGAAGCGAGAGGTGGCCAAAGGTGAAGGGCGCGGAGAGGGCCAAGCACGCAGCTCTGGGTACACCGACAACTGGACCGGGAAGCGCCCCAAGCGCTGACCTGCCCTGGACATCCCCCCCTGAGGGCGCGCACCACCGTGCCTCCTGTTCCTTGCAGGCCTCGTGGCGCTGTGCTCCGGGTACAACCAGCGCGTCACCGACCACTGCGCCCTGCCCTGGTTTCCCCCTCTCCCTTCCTCCTGCACACCAGACCTTGGGACCGTTAGTCCCTCCTGATCCCGCGCCTATTGCGATATCGGCTGGGACTGCAAGTGCCCTGCAGCAGGAATCCGGCAGCGCCTGGGTGCGGCCATCCACAGCGGGCGCGGGGGGCGGCCTGCACGCGCCCCGAAAGGACACTGACACGGGGTGCAGGGCCAAGCGCTAACGCACAGCAGCGCCGCACGGTCCTCTTGGCCACGGGCACCTTGCCCGAACCGCCCCACCTGGCTCTGGCACCACGACGTTCTCCTCGAGTACGGCCTGGTCAGCGCCTTCGGCTACCTGCCCTCCTCCTCCCTCCCTCTCTCTACCTGAATATGGGGCCGTTAGTCCCCCCTGATCCCGCAGGGTCTCCCTGCCACCTGCACCGCCCGGGCCGTCTCCTTGGCCCTGGCATTGCGGCGTCCTCGCCGAGTTCGGCCTGGTCAACGTCTTCGGCGACTTGCCCTACTCCTCCCTCCCCTTCCTTTTCCTGATTATGGGGCTGTTTGTCCCCCCTGATTCCGCAGGGTCTCCCTCCTCAGCATGGGCCACGCTCAGCTGCTAGTGCGGGGCTGCTCTGGCGACGGCTGGGCCGCTGAACCGGCCCTTCTCCTCCCTGCCCGCTTCCCCCCCCCCGCTCGCTACCCCCCCTCCCATGGCGGCAGTGCCCTGCACAGCGCGGCTTCGGCCCGGTGCCTGGCGCTTGAACCTTGCCGCCTCGGCGGCCCCGCGGTCCGAGGCGCAGCGCGGCTTCGGCCCGGCCCTTGGCACCGCGGAGCGGCAGCGCAACGTGTGCGGCTCCAGCCCATTCTCACGCGCTTGCCACTGCGGGGCAAGCGTCCTCCCTGCAACACACCGGCACCTTGTCGGTCCTGGGCGGCATGTTACCGGCTTCGCCTGGCAACCGCGCCTCAGACTGCGGTTCTTTTTCCCTATGCGTGGCACCTTGGACTACCACGGCCTGGGCCTCTCCTGCATCCTGCTCGGTGGCACAACGTTGCACTCCGGCCCAGCGGTGCTCCTCATCCTCTCGGGCGTCGCCCTGGATGCGTGGCGCGTCCTCTCCCGCAGTTTATGGGGCTGGTGTACATGATGCGCCGCTGACGGCACCACCACCAGCTTTTTGCCTCCCGGTACTTCGCCTCCGGGTTTCTGTTCGTGGCGTTCCTTTGCATGCACTTCGCTTTCGGCACCGCCTGATCCCGGGGCTTTGCCCTCTCATGGCCTTCCTTGACGTGAGGCCCCTCCTTCTGTTGTTCTTCCTCTGTTAATTAAAGCTGTGCGCGGCCCGCTTAGCTTCGACCGGAAGAGGCTCGCTCTCGACCCGCGGATCAAAACATTGTTTTCATTGTATCGATCAACTCTGGGATGCATCCATTATTTCGTCGTCGTCTCTCTCTCTCTCTCTCTCTCTCGAAGGAGGAGGAGGAGGATGAGGAGGAGGAGGAAGAGGAGGAGGCGGAGGAGGAGGAGGAGGAGGAGGAAGAGGAGGAGGCGGAGGAGGAGGAGGAAAAGGAGGAGGAGGAGGAGGAGGCGAGGAGGATGGGAGGAGTGGGGAGGAGGGAGGGGGAGGAGGAGGAGGAGGAGGAGGAGGAGGAAGAAAAGGAGGAGGAGGGAGGCGCGCACCTCGCGCAGCCGTCGTCGAGCAGGTGGGCCATCCAGTCCGCCTCCTGGGGGGCCGCGCGGAGACCAGCGCCGCACGGCGCCGAGGAGGCAGCCCCCCGCACCGGAGAGACGCAGACAGGGAGAAGGGCGCGTACACCCTGCGAAATGCTTAAGAAATCATGGGTTAAGAAATTCATAGTCTCAGAACTTGAATAAAAACCCAACATTTCTATTGAAATCTTGAGATTTACATTGAAACGTTAAGAATAATCGAGACTCTGGACGAAAACTTAGGTTTTCTTAAGCATCGCCTAGGGTGTACAGGAGAGCCCGTGGGGCCAGGAGGACCAGTAAGACGACGCCAGGACGAGGATACCATCGGGGGGGGGCAACATCGAGAGTCTCTGAGATCCGGCGGATCTGGGGGATGTCTCGTCTGGCGGATGTCTCGGGCGCCGGGGCCTTCTCAGAGCGTTCTGGAGGGCTCTCGAGGCGCTCCCGCACGCTCTGGAGCGAACTGATCCTCGTCCTAGCTCCGCCCGAGTGCACGAGGGCCCATGGGGCAGGAGGGTCAGGCCGCGCCAGACGAGCAACACGCAAGGACCCAAACCACGAGAGCCGAAGACCCTACAGCGAGCCGGACTGGACTGGCCAATCGAACCGAACCGAACCGGCCGGAACGGATCGGGCGCAGACTGGAACCAGACCTCGGTGGGACAGGAGGAGATCCAAGAGTGGATTTATGCTGCTTGAGGCACCTCGTCCTCAGGACTCCATCCCTCAGGACCCCATCATTGACCCACCGAAAACCGAGCTGGGTTTCTAGCCGAACTGGCAGAGAGGGGAACGTTTGCGGGGGTTCAGCTCAGGGTGGGAACCATCGAGCTTGCATCGTTGGTGTATGGCCGATGGATCGGCGACAGGCCCCATATGTAACGAAACCGCAAGTTCCTGGACGGGGAGCTGGGGCTATCGAGCCTCTGTCGGCGATGCATGGGCGATTGGAGGCTATTGTTGCCCCCCCTGACCTTGTTTTCCCTTAGCGTTGCCCCGTAATTCTCGGGTCAGAACTCGACACTCTGGCGGCGTTCGGCACGATCCGTGCACCCCCCGGAACGCTCTCGGCGCAGCCGCTGGAAGGCATCCCGAGGTGGGGAAACCGCCGAGAACCGCCGACATCCAAAACCTGCGCCCGTTCCCCCACCCCCCAACGCTGCCCCCGAGATTGTCGGGGAGGTATCTAGCCTGGCAAATCGGTCGCACGCGCCCGGCGCATCCCCGCCGCTGGGAAGCGTCCGTGGGCCACGGAGGGGCGCAGCAGCGGCGGGAGGCCGAAACCGTCTGCGCGCTGCACCGTCTTCGACGGTGCCGGCGGCGCCAAAGCAGGTGGCCCCAGACGGTTGCGTGATAAGTGGCCCCTGACCGAAAACATGACTGCCCATGCTGGACATAAATTGACGACTCTCTGTCGCTATACGGTGAATTACGAGCCACATCTGCATCGCGAGGGGGGGAGGCTGGGAAAGGGCATACCACTCCTGGACAAAACTCTTGCCTCGATTGGTGGCCGCCGCGATCTCCGCGGCGACCTCCAGAGCCGATCCAGAGGTTTGGCTCGGGGTCGGATACCACGCAACGGCCCAGAGTCGGGCCGATAAATCGAACGGGGTCGACACGAACGTCGAATCGGCAAGCATGGGCCGAAAACCAGCCGCACAGTCGAAGCGGCAGAAGTCGGCAGAAGAGACAGACGCCAGGTCGGCACCGAAGTCGGACGGGGGACACACTTACAGTCAGACTGCACCATCGAAGCGGCAGAAACTGCCAAAACAAACAGACACCAGGAACCGCTGTCGACCTTCGTTCCCATTCTTGGAGGCCTCCCACATGGGGTCCGAATAGACGGGGTGGGGGGATCGCGTCGCATCGCTGATGCGTTGGCGATGCATCGGCGACGTCGGCGTGGAGAGAACCGGGCTCCGCATCGAGCAGCATCGCCGATGCTTCGACGATGCGGCGCGATCCTCCGACCCCAAGGTCGGCACCGAAGTCGGACGAGGGACGAGGGACGAGGGACGAGGAGGAGGAGGAGGAGGAGGAGGAGGAGGAGGAGGAGGAGGAGGAGGAGGAGGAGGAGGAGGAGAGAGGAGGAGGGAGGAGGAGGAGGAGGAGGAGGAGGAGGAGGAGGAGGAGGAGGAGGAGGGAGGAGGGAGGAGGGAGGAGGAGGAGGAGGAGGAGGGAGGAGGAGGAGGAGGAGGAGGAGGAGGAGGAGGAGGAGGAGGAAGGAGGAGGAGGAGGAGGAGGAGGAGGAGGAGGAGGAGGAGGAGGAGGAGGAGGAGGAGGAGGAGGAGGAGGAGGGAGAGAGGAGGAGGAGGAGAGAGAGGAGGAGGGAGGAGGAGGAGAGGAGGAGGAGGAGGAGGGAGGAGGAGGAGAGAGGAGGAGGAGAGAGGAGGAGGAGGAGGGAGGAGGGGAGGAGGAGGAGGAGGGAGGAGGAGAGGAGGAGGAGGAGGAGGAGGAGGAGGAGGGAGGAGGAGGAGGAGGGAGGCGCGCACTTACAGTCGGACGGGCCTTCCAGCGCGCAGAGGGCCTCGGCCGCCGAGCTGCCCCCTCTCAGCGGAGCGCTCCGCCGCGCCGCCGGGGGACGTCGCCCGCCCCGAGGGGCTGGCCAGTGAGAACGGGGAAGGATCGGGTCGGGCGAAAGGGGGGGATAGCAAAGGGGGGGTTGAGAATCAGCTCACGTAGCTGATTTTCCCGGCGCCTCCCGGCGCCGGAGGCGGCTACGTATCGAGGAATGGGCCCCTCGGTGAGGCCGAAACCAGCTGCATGCAGCAAATTTCGTAACCCCCCCTTTCCCAATCCCCCCCTTTCGCCCGGCCCGAAAGGAGGACGGGCCGACGAGGCAAAGACGCAACTCGCCATCGCTCGGACATCCGTTTTCCATGCATTTTTCGATTTAGTGTTTTTTGGATTGTTGTCTCGTCGGAGTAATGTATATATGTATATATATATATGTATATACATACATATATATATATATATATATATATATATATGTATATGTATATATGTGTATATATACACATATATATATATACACATATGTATATATATATATACGTACATTTCTCAGACATCCTCTGCCATCCTCTGCAAAACATACTATGCTCGCACATTCTTTGTTTTCAGATGTATACATAAACGCCGGCCCCCTTGTGGGGCCACCAGGCTGTAGGCCGGAGGTTCGCAGTTTCCTGTGCCAGTTGCAACTTCCAGCTTCCAATGTTACAGTTCTTCTTCTTGCTGCTTGCTGTTCCTTGTTGACTTCTTGCTGCTTACTGTTCCTTGTTGATGGACCGCGCGAGGGGGGGAGGCCCAAAACGGGTATTTTTACCACGCCCAAAACGTATTGTCTGAATTGCTGGGGTGGGTACAAATTGACACCCTCACGCAGATCGGCGGGGTCAGGGTCCAAAAACCAAACGAGATTTGCCACATGTCTGACATTCGGTGGCACCCCTCACGCAAATCGGCGGGGTCAGGGTCCAAAAACAAACGGGATTGCCACATGTTTGAAATTCGGTGACACCCATCATGCAGATCGGCGGGGTCAGGGTCCAAAAACACAAGGGATTTGCCACATTTCTGAAATTCGGTGGCACCCCTCACGCAGATCGGCGGGGTTAGGGTCCAAAAACGTATGGGACTAGCTACATTTCTGAAATTCGGTGGCACCTCTCACGCAGATCGGCGGGGTCAGGGTCCAAACACTCAAGGAGATTTACCACATTTCGGTGGCACCCCTCACGCAGATCGGCGGGGTCAGGGTCCAAACACACAGGGGATTTGCCACATGTTTGAAATTCGGTGACACCCATCACGCAGATCGGCGGGGTTAGGATCCAGAAACACATGGGATTGCCACATTTCTGAAATTTGGTGGCACCTCTCACGCAGATCGGCGGGGTCAGGGTTCAAAAACTCAAGGGGATTTGCTACATTTCGGTGGCACCCCTCACGCAGATCGGCGGGGTCAGGGTCCAAAAACAACAGGGTTTTGCCACATGTGTGAAATTCGGTGACACCCATCACGCAGATCGGCGGCCAAAAACACAAGGGATTTGCTACATGTTTGAAATTCGGTGACACCCATCACGCAGATCGGCGGGGTCAGGGTCCACAAACGCAGGGGATTTGCCACATTTCTGAAATTCGGTGGCACCCCTCACGCAGATCCGTAGGGTCAGGGTCAAAAAAACATGAGGGATTTGCAACATTTCTGAAATTCGGCTGCACCCCTCACGCAGATCCGTATGGTCAGGGTCCCAAAACACAAAGGATTTTCAACATTTCTGAAATTCGGTGGCGCCCGTGATGCAATCCGTATGGTCAGGGTCGGAAAACAAACAGGTCCCGACACTGCTTCACGGCGAAGCCAAAGCCTCATGACTTCGCTCTTCCATGGCCCATTCTCCGAGAGGAGGGGGCCGGCGGCAGGGGGCGAAGCCCTTACGGATAGATAGATATTCATATACACATAATGCGATCATTATGGTGATTCTCAGTCTGATTATGATGATTCCTATTATTACTTACTATGTTCGTCATAAACTTGCTATATGAAGGAACGATGGTCCAGGATGCACCTCGGCGCCCCAAGGGGTGCCCCAGGGCACGTCGCCCGCCCCAAGGGGTGCCCCGACGGACGGGCCACCGAGGGCGGGAGAGACGCAGCCCGCCATCGCTCGGACGCCCCTTTCCCGTGCAATCCTTCGATCTCGGGCGTGCTCTTTTTTGGGGGGGAGGGGGGCTCGATGATTCGGGTCGGGCGAAAGGGGGGGATAGCAAAGGGGGGGTTTGAGAATCAGCTCACGTAGCTGATTTTCCCGGCGCCTCCCGGCGCCGGAGGCGGCTATGTATCGAGGAATGGGCCCCTCGGTGAGGCCGAAACCAGCTGCATGCAGCAAATTTCGTAACCCCCCCTTTCCCAATCCCCCCCTTTCGCCTGGCCCGAATGATCCAGGGTGCACCCCTCACACGTTCCGTGGCCTCACATGGGGCTCCACCGAAGGCTGCGGTGGCAGCGTCCGCATGGCGTACCCGTATCAATTTTGGCACACCCGTCGCACGCGTCGTGACACCAGAGAGGCTCACCGAGGTCGATACCCACAACTGCGTTACTCACAACTTCACATGGTTGGGTCCCTCGCCAATCTATTTTTTTGGGGGGGGGATCGATGATCCAGGGTGCTCCTCGATGGTCCTCGCCGAGGAAAAATGCACACGTCGGAGCGATGCCAAGAATGGTGCCCCGAGGAGCTGGCGAGCGAAAGCGGGAAAGGACGGGCCACCGATGCAGGGACGCGAAAGTACCCCAATTTCGAGCAGGGACCGCCCGTCTGGCATTCACGACTACACGGTTCTTATAGCAAGGAGCAAGCTGATGAAAACAAGGCTGTCTCAACTAGACGCTCTGAGAACGTTTCGTGCAACCCACAGAAGGTTCTCATAGCATTCTGGTGGGCCCATGGGCAAGCCATGGCGTCTCGCAACTGCTTGACGAGGGCACCCTCGGGAAAATCGTGAGTCCTTATCGTGGGCTTTTAACTGTACGGAACAGCTGGACCTAAGACACAATAACCTCCTCCAAAAATATGAGACCCTCCGCCGGCCCAAACACGCAGAACATCCTGGCGTACCCTCCCCAGGAGGTATTGCAAAAGAGCGCCTCATAAACACGAGGAACATGCGGGTACCCTCCCAGCACCGACCTCGATCTTATACCTCGGTCCGACGGTGCGTCGCACCCGCGCCCTGTGTGGAGAAACCAAGAAAGTCCGATACCGCTACTCCCCCGACCTCTCCTGGGGTGCGTTCTGACTAGGATTTCGAGGCTAATCCAGCGGTGACGACGAGAGTCCCCCAGGAGGCCCACAAAGGGAAAACGGGGCGAGCGTAGGGGTATTAGAGGTCTGCTAGATGGGGGGGAGTCGATGGGGTCGGAGTATCGCACTGCATCGCCAAGCATCGCCGATACATCGCCGATGCATCGGGGATGCATTGGCGATGCACCAGCGACGCTGGCGATGCATCGGCGACGTCGGCGTGAAGCAACCTGGGCTCTGCATGGAGCCGCATCGTCGATGCATCGGCGATGCGGCGCGATCCTCCGACCCCTATCAACTCAGACCACATCTAGGATCGAGGGGAGAAAATCCCCTCCCATGAGAACCACCCCGACAAGCGAGGCCGTTTAGTCAACGCACCCAAAGAAGGAATCGAACAGGGCAAGGCTGCTTAAAAAAACGCCCAAGGCCGTTTTTAGTGAACGCCAATTGTCCGGTCCGGGTGGTTTTTCCTCCCTTGAAGGAGGCCCAGAGGTAAGGTTAGGTCGGGCGTGCCCCCCTATAGGGGGATTTTGGGCGAAACATTGAAAATAGCGAAAAAAAAACCCACCAAATGCTCAAAAGTAGTGAAGAAATCGTCCCAGACTATTTCTGGACTATTTTGGAATACTCCCCGTGTAGAGGGATGTGCCCGACTTGGAGTTCTGGGTACCGTTCCCTCCTCGGACTGCGAAGGGGCCGCGGGCTCCTCGCAGGCTCCGAGCTGGGCGCGGCACAGCGGGCACTCGTCGGGGAGCATGCCGCGCGCGGCCGCCCTGGCGCGGCCTCCGGCCTGCGGGCGCAGCCGTCGGCGCCGCCGTCGGCGCTGCCGTCGTCGTCGTCGTCGTCGTCGTCGTCGTCGTCGTCGTCGTCGTCGTCGTCGTCGTCGTCGTCGTCGTCATCGTCGTCGCCGCCGGCGCCGGCGCCACTTTTTCGCGCCTGGGCTGCAGCCTTCGGGGGCAGCACGGCGCAACGAACGCGCTGCTCGTGCTCCGCTCTTTCTGTTCGTGGCCTCCGGGGAGCTTCTCCGCTTTTTCTGCTCGTGCTTCCGCTCTTTCTGCTCGTGCTCCGCTCTTTCTGCTCGTGGCCTCCTCGTGTGCGCCGCAGGAGGGGAAGTTGTGCTTTGCAGGCTTGGTGCCCAGTTGGAGGCTGCGGTCGTCCGTCGTCGGTCTGGGCGTGCCATCCGGTCGCCGTCGTCGTCAAAATCCCAAAACTCCGACGGATCTGTTTTTTTTCAATTCCGGCCGTATTTTCGTCGATTTCGACCCTTTGGGGCGCGTCGTCGGGCCCTGGGGCCTGCAGCAACGGGTCCAGGACCAACAACTATCTCCAGGAAGCGGTTGGGACTTCTCGGGCCCCGGATCGAGAGAGTCATATCGGCGGACGTCTGGGGGTAGCAATCGCTGTCGTGGTCGCCGTGGTGATACACACCCGAAAGCCGTCGAGCAATGCACACACGGACACCCAGGATGACCGAGCACGAATGGTTCCAGCCCCGCCGCCTGCTTCAACTTCTCCGCAATCACAACGGATCCGAGCAAGTCTCGGCGGCGAGCGAGGGGGGAGGTGAGAAGGAGAAGGCCTTCTCAGAAGGCGGCGGGACTTCTCAGAAGCCCTCGCCCCTTCGGAAACATATTCTGTGTCTTCGGGGACGGCTTGGAAACCTTCTCAGGCCGGGGGACTTCCGAACTTTCTGAGAAGGCCTTGTCCTTCTCACTTGCCCCCGCGCTCGCAGCTGAAAGTCAGAGGACGACAGGCGCGAACGCTGCGTTGATATGATCGCAACTTGTCTCGCACCAGCCCGCCAAGCCGCGAAGACGGCACCGAGGACGAGGAATGAGGGCCGCCCACGAGACGAGCGCAATTCTTTTTCAGCGCGGCCCAAACACAGCGCCAACGATGGGAATTCGAAACGCGAAGTGTTGAGTCGGAGTGCAGTCCGCTTTAGGCCGCGCCCTCGCCAGACTGGACTCGCGGGTGACATTTTCCGCAGGCCAGAAGCTGGGACGCCCTGTTGCAACTGTCTTCGGCCCCCCCCTCGCCCAGGGTGCCCGCATCCTCTTTGCGCCCTTCTGGGGCCCCTGGGTGCGTCTTGAAGCCACAGGCGCCTCCCTGGGAGACCTGGGGCCACCTTGAGGCCAGGGCCACCTCCGGCAGCTTCCTGAATGGAGCAAGAACGAGAAACTGCAGCAGGGGCTCGACCACAAGAAACCTTCAACAAGAAACCCAACCCTGAGCCCCCAGGTGGTCCGTGGATTTCTGGTGCGGGAACGCTACGTTTTCCATGGCAAAGCCATCGAAAACCAAGAAGCCCAGGGCACCCTGCAGGCAAGCAGGGTGTTTCTTGGCATGGGTCTCCACTGTGCACTCTCGCTCACTTGTCCGCGCGGATTTCTGGGATCGGCGGTGGCCCCCTCCTCGGCGTGCGGAGCGCGTCGGAGGCGGCGCCGGGGGGCGCCGCCAGGGGGATCTGGCACCGATCCCAAGATCCGCGCGAACCTCCGACCGTTGATGACGCTCTGTTTTTTTCGAGCCGACAGGGGAAGGCATGAGGAGGCGGCTGTCTGGCTGTCCTGAGGAGCTGCTGCGCGTCGCTCGTCCACGGGCGCACCCATGCATCCCTGCAATCGCAGCGGGCGCCAGCCTCGCACTCTTCACAGAGGTGGGAGTACATCTTCGCAATCTCAATGACCTGCCGGCGTGCTGGCAGATGCGCGACCGCACGGAAGCTCTCGAAGCAGAACGCCTAGGGGCCTCAGAGTCAGAATGAAGGCTGAAACAGCAACACCCCGTCTCAGATCACCAAACAATAGATATCGCTGCAAGGCCTTGTTAGGCCTGCGGTCTCGTGAGGCCCGAGAAGGCCAACAACGTGAAATAACCCCCCTACCCCTCCTGGCACGCACGCCCGAAATGGGCACAGAAAAATGGGCACAGCGCCCAGCAACAGAAGTTGTGCAAGTCCGGCAGCGGCCGCTGTTGGGCAAACGACTGCTTGATTCGAGTGGGCACCGTCCGGGGCGACACCGACAGACGCTCTTGCTCAAGATGTGCAGGAACCGCTGCCGACCTTCGTTCCCATTCCTTGGAGGCCACCCAAATGGGGTCCGAGAAGATTGGGTGGGGGGCTCGCGTCGCATCGCCGATGCCTCGGTGACGTCGGCGTGGAGAGAATCGGGCCGGATTGCCAAAAGTTTATGTTTACGGCTTTTTTTCTCCTTCGAATCTTTCAGGGCGAGGGAGTGTCGGGGGGGACAAAAGGAGGGGTTAGCAAAGGGTAGGGTAGATAAGCAGCTCACGTAGCGGATCTTCCCAGCGCCTCCCGGCCGGCGCCGGGAGGCGCCCATGTATCGAGGAATGGGCCCGGCGGCGGGGCCGAAACCGGCGGAATGCAACAGATTTCGTAACCCCCCCTCTCCCTGTCCCCCCCCCTTCGTTAGGCCCGATCTCCAGAGAGCGCGCTGCTCGGCTGCTCCATCCACCGGGGGGTGTGAAGAGCCGTGCGCCTCTCTCGCACCTTCCGGGCCCGCGGTGGCAGTTCAGGGGCCGCTCGCGCCCCCCTTCAGCAGGGCTGGACCTGAACGTTGTCTTTCGCTGCGTTTTCGTTGTGCTTTTCGGTTTGCTCTACGTGCGTCTTGGTTGCGTGTTCGTCTTGTTTTTTCGTTGCTGTTGTTTTTCCTTGCGTTTTCGTTTTCCGTTTTGTTTTTCGATTTCGTTTTCCTGTACCTCCCTGCCAGACGAAAAACAAAGCACGGCCGAAGCTCTGCAAAACAGCGCTCAGGTCCAGCCCTGCCCCTCAAGGCCACCTCCCTGCCACCCTCGACCCCCGCCGTTGCCGCCCGCCCGAGTTGCGCAAGCGCTGCTCGGCTGCTTCCCGGCCACCCGCGTGGGCCCTGCCGCCAAGGGCAGCGAGGAACCTCTTGGCCTCGTCCTTCCGCCTTCCCTGCTCCTCTTGGCGGCGCGCAGGAAGGGGGTAGAGGGCTGGGGGAAGGCTTCTTAGAGGGAGGCTGCTTTGAAGGCGCCGGCCTCATATCTGCAGAGAAGGTCCGCGCCTTATCATAAGCAGGGGTGCTTTTAAGAAACCTATCCCCCTTCCCCCTACCATCTTGTGTGTGTGTGGCCGATTCTTCCACCTCTCTCCTTCTTCCTCACGGCTCCCCCCTCCCCCCCCCTCGTCCTCCCTGCTCCCTTCCCTCCCCCTCGTCCCCCCCTCGTCCTCCCTCGTGCTCCCTTCCTCCCTTCTCTTTCCTCCCTCGCTCCTCCTGGGGCGTTCAGAAGAAAGGCACCATGGCAACCGTCGATATATTATCCTTCTTCTATGCTCGCGACGGGCACTCTCTCGGGCGTTGGCAGGACTGGTTCAATGGGACCTGGCTTCAGTGAGGTGTACTAAGGGGCTGGTTTTTGAATTCAAACCAGTCAACTGGATTCAACCAGTTTTTGAATTAAAAACCAGGACCTGGTTTTAGTGATGTGTGCAGAGGGGCGTCACCGCCTGGGAAGAGTCCGCTTTTGGCTTCGGCGCGTTTCGGCTCCGTCAACCTCTTTCGGCTTCGGTCCGTTTCGTCCTGGCCCGTTTCGGCTTCGGCCCGTTTCGTCCCGGCCCGTTTCGGCTCCGGTTTCGTCCCGGCCCGTTTCGGCTCTGGCCCGTTTCCACGCCGCACGTTTCGGTTCCAACCCGTTTCGGCTTAGGCTTGTTTCGGCTTTCCAATTCGCGCTTGCACCCGGGCCGTGAAGCCGAAACGGGCCGAAGCCGATTCGGATTGAAGCCGAAACGGGCGGAGCCGAAACGCGCCGAAGCCGAAACGCGCCGACGCCGAAACGGGCGGAGCCGAAACGGGCCGAGCCGAAACGCGCCGAAACCGAAACAGGCTGAGGCCGAAACGGGCGGAAGCCCAAACTGGACCTAAGCCGAAACGGGCCTGAAGCCGAACCGGTCCGTCTTGGGCCGTCTTGTAGCCCTCTGGGGCCGTGGACATTCATTGCTCTTGGCCTCCTCAAGCTCTTTAGGGGCTCTTCTTCAGGGCCTCTGGGGCCATCTTGGGGCCCTCTGGAACCGTAGTGTTCAGGCCATCTTATCCCGTCTGGGAACGCTCTTGGGCGGTCTTGGAATCTCCTCGAGCGCTCTTGGACCTCTCTGGGGCCGTCTTGAGCGCCTCGCGGGCCGTCTTGGGCGCCTCTGGGGGCGTGCGCCATGGTTACGCCCAAGCGTGCGTTCGTCGCCCCTCCCGGGCGTGCGCTCTGCGCCCCAACAGAACACCATCACTCGCACCTCGCTCTCTCCGTCACCCGGGCCGGCACGGTAACGAAAAGAGCGTCTCGGAGGCATGCCCGAGAGGGCTCAAAGCACAGTTCTGTCTTGGAAGCCCTGGTGTCAGGAGTTTATTGCATCACTACTCGCTGTTTGGAGTCTTGGTGTTCAGAGCATTTTATGCCACCGTTCGCTCGCGGGAGCCTTGGTGTGAGAAGAGCTTCTAATGTCACCGTTCGCACTCGGGAGCCTTGGTGCAAAGAGCTTGTCACGCCACGATGAGCTCTGGAGAGCCCTGGTGTGTAGAGCTATTTGCGTCACCGCTCGCTCTTGGGAGCCTTGGTGTTAAGAGTTGTTTACGCCACCGCTCGCTCTTGGGAGCCCTGGTGTTACGAGCTTGTCACGTCAATGTGAGCTCTTGGGAGCCTCTGTTATTTGGCGTCTCTGGGCCTGCTTGGGGGTCCTGTTGGGGTCCTCTTGGACTCTCTTGGGAATCTTTCGGGTAGTCCTGGGGCCCTTTGGGGCCGTCTTTGAGGGCTTTGGCCTTCCTTGGGAGCCTCTTGGGAGCCTCTAAGGGCCGTCTTGGGGCCCTTTGTGAGCGTCTTGGGGCCTTTTTCTGGGGGCCTCTAGACCGTCTTGGGGTTATCTTTGGGGCCTCTTGGGCTGTCCTGGACCGTCGGAAGCCAAGGAAGGTGACACAAACACATGGTAATTCAATGTTTTTGGCATCCTCAAACCCTCTCGGGGGTCCTCTGAAGTGCCCCTGGGACAATCTTGGGGCCTTCTGGAACCGTCTTGAAGCCATCGTAACCCATCTGGGAACGCTCTTGGGCGGTCTTGGATTCTCCTCGAGCGCTCTTGGACCGTCTTGGATCCTTCTTGGACCTCTCCGGGCCATCTTGAGCGCCTCTTGGGCCGTCTTGGGCAAACCTGAGGCCGTCTTGGGGGCGCGCGCGCGTGTTCGAATTCGGTTGGGTGCGAATTCGACAAGGTCTTGGTTCGGTTCGGGAACCGAACCTGAGGGTAATGATTAGGGGCACCTTGTCCTTAGCAGGGGCCCAAACTATACCAGACTCTGACTCTCTCGCCCCCTGCTCGGCGCCTGAAGGGGGAAGGTTTCGTTAAGGAGGAAAGGCAAGGCCACAATTGACTCGACGATGGACGGAGGACGATGACGGCGACGACGACAAGCGGCAGACGACTACGAAGACAAGGACGATGACGACGGGTCACAGTCGACTTGACGACGACGACGACGCGGGCGGAAGCGATGGCGACGACGACGACGACGCGCGGAGGGCGTGGGGCGAGCGCGGCACGACCTGCTCGCAGAGCTGGCATTGGATGAGCATGGGGCACTCCCGCCAGTAATGAAGGTCCAGTGCCTCCCCCCCCCGTGCGCGCAGCGAGGCTGCAGGCGATGCGAGGGGGTGATGCTGATGCTGATGCTGATGCTGCTGATGCTGATGGTGATGCTGATGCTGCTGCTGTTGATGACGATGATGAGGATCCCGCTCTTCAAGGGGGGTCGGAGCCATGATGATGATGCTGATGATGCTGCTGATGATGATGCTGGTGATGATCATGATGCTAGCCATGGTGTTGGGGCAGATAAAGATGTTCATGGCGACGGCGATGATGGTGATGGTGGCGATGCCGATGGTGTTGCCGATGACTATGATCCTTCTTCTTCTTCATTATTCCCAACCCTCCTTGGTTGGGTATTCGTTTTGAATAGAGCAGTGTGGTCGCGTCCTTCCTCCTCCCGCCTCCCGCCTCTTTCCTGCCTCTTTCTGTCTTGCCTGCGGGGGGCTGCGATCTGTGAAACTGTCGCCACTTTCGAGGCCTGCTGGGGGGCTCAGCATAGAGGGTAATCGCGGCAGATTCAAATTAGACCTCGCCATCCCTGGGGGGGGGGGCTGCGATCTGTGAAACTGTCGCCACTTTCGAGGCCTGCTGGGGGGTCCAGCATAGAGGGTAATCGCGGCAGATCCAAATTAGACCTCGCCTCCCTGGGGGGCTGCGATCTGTGAAACTGTCGCCACTTTCGAGGCCTGCTGGGGGGTCCAGCATAGAGGGTAATCGCGGCAGATCCAAATTAGACCTCGCCATCCCTGGGGGGCTGCGATCTGTGAAACTGTCGCCACTTTCGAGGCCTGCTGGGGGGCCCAGCACAGTGGGACCCACGCGCGGATTCAAATTAGACCTCGCCATCCCTGGGGGGCTGCGATCTGTGAAACTGTCGCCACTTTCGAGGCCTGCTGGGGGGCCCAGCACAGTGACGCCACGCGCGGATTCAAATTAGACCTCGCCATCCCTGGGGGGCTGCGATCTGTGAAACTGTCGCCACTTTCGAGGCCTGCTGGGGGGCCCAGCACAGTGACGCCACGGGCGGATTCAAATTAGACCTCGCCATCCCTGGGGGGCTGCGATCTGTGAAACTGTCGCCACTTTCGAGGCCTGCTGGGGGGCCCAGCACAGTGACGCCACGCGCAGATTCAAATTAGACCTCACCATCCCTGGGGGGCTACGATCTGTGAAACTGTCGCCACTTTCGAGGCCTGCTGGGGGGCCCAGCACAGTGACGCCACCGCAGATTCAAATTAGACCTCGCCATCCCTGGGGGGCTGCGATCTGTGAAACTGTCGCCACTTTCGAGGCCTGCTGGGGGGCCCAGCACAGTGACGCCACGGGCGGATTCAAATTAGACCTCGCCATCCCTGGGGGGCTGCGATCTGTGAAACTGTCGCCACTTTCGAGGCCTGCTGGGGGGCCCAGCACAGTGACGCCACACGCGGATTCAAATTAGACCTCGCCATCCCTGGGGGGCTGCGATCTGTGAAACTGTCGCCACTTTCGAGGCCTGCTGGGGGGCCCAGCACAGTGACGCCACACGCAGATTCAAATTAGACCTCGCCATCCCTGCGGGGGCTGCGATCTGTGAAACTGTCGCCACTTTCGAGGCCTGCTGGGGGGCCCTGCACAGTGACGCCACACGCAGATTCAAATTAGACCTCACCATCCCTGGGGGGCTACGATCTGTGAAACTGTCGCCACTTTCGAGGCCTGCTGGGGGGCCCAGCACAGTGACGCCACACGCAGATTCAAATTAGACCTCGCCATCCCTGGGGGGCTGCGATCTGAGATCCCCGCTTTCGAAGTGGCTAGGGTTGCTCAGGGATTGTAACGAATCAGCTTTATCTAGTCCTTGTCCTGTAACCAGTGTCCTGTGAGTCTCCCGAATTCCGTCTGGAGGCATATGTAACCCTCGCTCCGTCATCGCCCCCCTTTATAAAGTGTCCTAAACTATTTGCGCCCCGCGTTTGCGGAGGGGTTGGGTACGTCGCCAGGGTAATTATTATTATTATCTTCTTCTTCTTTCAAATCCTCCTCCTCCTCCTCCTCTTCCTCCTCCTCCTGCCGCGATTTTCCCCGCTGCTCGTTGGCCCGCGCCCGTCCTCCTGCGATGCGGCGGCAAACTGCTCTCCGAGCAGGGGGAGCGCAAGAGGGACGGGGCGTAGGATACAGGCAGGAGTGACCGCCAGGAAGGATGGAGGCGGGAGGGCGAGGGAGGAGGAGAAAGGTGAGTGGTGGAGGCACAAGAGGCATCTTTATTATTAGCGGCCATAACGGGCATTTAGGGGGGGAGGGGGGGAATGATATAGCGACCCCCCCCCCAGACTGTGGTGCCGGAAGCACTGCGGCAATGCGGGGGACGCACTGAGGGGTGAGCGTTACATTACGGTGGGGGGAGGGGGAGGAGGAGGATAGGGGGCATAACGCGCGTTATGGCCGAGAGGGTACAACAAAAACACTCATAAGGGGGGCGAGGCGAGGCGAGCGCGCGGATCGTCCGGTTATGCAGAGGTTTTTGTCGCCATCCATCTTGCGATGTCTCGAGATCTCTGTGATGTCGTCGATTCGAGAGGCCGTTCTCGGACTTCGTACTGCGGGAACTACTCTGGAACGGGTTCGGGGAAGGGAGGGAGGAAGGGGGAGGCAAAGGTGAGGAAGGCTGAGTGAATGGGGGAGAATGAGGAGGAAGAGTAGGGAGGACGAAACAAGGGATATTGGCCATGAGAGAGCGCCAGAGAAGAGGACGAGGAGGATGATATTGAGTAGGACGGATCAGAGGAGTTGGGGGGATAGATAAGGAGATCATGGATGACGAGGAGGGCAAGGAAGATAGCGATGAGGATGTTGAGGAGGATGCGATGGGAATTATTATGCAGATACTTTGGTGAACGTCGGCGTGTTGCGCTGTACTGTTACTTATGATGTAGCTGGAGCTTTCGACAGAGTGTCGCCTCCTTGCCAAACTCGCGTCATTTGACGCCATCCTTACGTTGCTATTGCGCTAAACGATTGGTTCGCCCCTCGGACGGCGCATGGGGAAGAAGCAAGACCACTTAGGATTGACGAGGAGGCTGTTTTGATAGGGTGTGGTCCGCGAGCCCGTTGTGGTAGCAGTCCCAGCCTATGCACGAACGAGAGGGACAGCTGGGAGAAGAGGGACTATGATGAATCATGAAGCTGATGACGGGGATCACGATGACAATGGTGCTGATGCTGCTGCTACTGCTGATGATGATTATGATGATAATGCTGATGCTGACGATGATGATGCTGATGATGATAATCTTGATGATGATGCTGATGATGACGATGATGGTGATGATGATGACGACGATGACGGTGCTGGTGATCATGAATATGCTGCTGCTCATGATGCTGCTGCTGCTGATGATGACGACGTTGACGACGATGGTGATGGTGATGGTGATGATGATGGTGATGATGCTGATGCTGATGGTGGTGATGATGATGATGCTGCTGCTGCTGTGATGATGCTGACGCTGTTGCTGCTGCTGATGATGCTGATGATGATGAACAAGAGGAGGATGCTGATATGATGGTGGTGGTGGTGAGGAGGAAGATGAGGATGAGGATAATGAGGAAGAGGAGGAGAATGGGGAGTAAGAGCAGGATGAGGAGCAGTGGAGGAGGTGCATAAGACTGGGGGGTGGGACCCCCCAGACGTCGACGTAGACCCCTTCCATGGGACAGGATGTTCCTCCTGGATTGCTTTCGGACGGTCCAGGGGCCCCGTGAGGGCCCTCAGGAGGCTGAAGATTGCTCCGAGCCTCTCTCTTCGTGGCCTTGTCGCAGCGAGAAGAGGCGGGGGCAGGAGGAGGAGGAGGAGGAGGAGGAGGAGGAGGAGGAGGAGGAGGAGGAGGAGGAGGAGGAGGAGGAGGCCTGCCGAGGACGAGAGCGACGACGAGGCCCCCGCCCCCCGAAGCAGGGGCCTCGGGCGTGAAACTTGGGTCCTGGCGGCGGCGGGGCGCGAAGACGGGGCGCAGAACAGCCGCGGAGGACGGGGCCAGGGAGTCCGGGACAACCCTGAGACGAAAATCGGGTGAGGACAAGTCCAGAATCTGGACAACCAGGTGAGGATGATCGGGTGAGGATAATCGGGTGAGATCTGGCGGCTCTGGAAAACATCTCGGGCGCCTCGACCTTCTCAGAGCGTTCCGAAGCGCTCTGAGAGCGTTCCAGAACGATCCGGAACGGATTTATCCTCCCTGGCATGCCCAGAGACCTCCAGCCTCCTCCTCCTCCGCCTCCTCCTCCAACTCCTCCTCCTCCAACTCCTCCTCCTCCTCCTCCTCCTCCTCCTCCTATTCCTGCTCCGCCTCCTCCTCCTCCTCCCGCATGTCCAAAAGACACAGAGTATCATCATGCAGAGGTGCGTGGGAGCAGATTGCTCGACGGACGGCACCAGTTATGAAGGCGAGAGACTGCCAGGAGAGATAGTCACTTTGTCCAGCACGAACGAACTGGCTTTTCGGAATCCATCGGCCTCCCTGCGTTCAGTGGGGCCATTGAGAACTGAACCGGAGAAGTACAGGGGGCCGCGAGGCCCTAGACCACCCTGTAGCCGCGGGAAAACCTCCTCCCCTCCCTCTGGCCCATCTCCTCCTCCTCCTCCTCCTCCTCCTCCTCCTCCTCCTCCTCCTCCTCCTCCTCCTCCTCCTCCTCCCCCCCGCGCAGAGGGGTGCTCGGCGTGCACAACATTTGTGGGTAGACTTGTCGGCCCTTCCAACTGGTTCCCGACGGCCTCCCCACCAACCCGCTGGCCACCCGGAGAAGGTGTGATGCAAGGGCTTTCCCGCATCATGGCTCCCAAAGCCCTTCCAGGGCGGCCAAGATGGCCTCCAAGACGGACATGGTGGCCCCAAGACCTGCACGAGGGGCGGTCCTTTTTAACAACGAAGATCTCGCTGGGCACCCTCCTTTGAACTATATGACCGTCTTTTGTCGCATCCCAGGGAAAGCGCTACAAGGATGAAGGGCAATACTTTTTCGAAGCGTGGCTCGCGCCTGGGGGGTGCTGGTCTCTCAAGGGGGGGCGCCTCTTGTGGTGACGAGGCAGGCATGCAGGGACTCATGAGGAGGGGCTCGACCTGGGCGCTGTCGATCGATGGTGCACTAGCCGTGCTGCAAACAGTGCTGAACACGCCCGGCCATTTGCCAGCGTGGCAGCGCGGGCCCCCGGATCTCTCATTCCGACGACGGGACGGGCCGACAGAGAAACGCTGGCAAGGCAAGGGACAGGAGCAGGCAGGACAGCGACGAGCCGAGGAGCCGAGGACTTGGGACAAGAGTGTGTATTGCAGCATCGCTGATGCCACAAGATTCAGCAGCTGCACGAGCACAAACTTTCGCAGGGGCGGCGCCGAAAGCAACGCCACGGGGGTGCAGCGCCGATCCGAGAGATGCCGGTCGGAGCTCCGAGAGAGTCTACGCCAGCGCAGCTCTCTCGTCCTCGAGGGCCCCTCCCTCCCTGGCGCGCCCAGAGAAGGGGAAGGCAGAGGCTTTCTGAGCCTTCACGGCTCCTCAGAAGGCAGAGGCTCCGCGCAGAGCGCCAACAGCTTGTGCTCGTGGCGCTCCTTCTTCTACGACAGGGGGGGGGAAGACGCAGGGGACTAAGGTTAGGTCGGGCGTGCCCTCTTACAGGCGGATTTTGGACGAAAAGTACAAGTGCCCTCAAAATACTCAAACAGTGCTCAAAGGTTAAAACATCGTCCCCAGTCTATGTTCTGACCATTCTTGAATACTCCTCGTGCAGAGTGACAGGCTGGACTGAAGACTAAGGCTTCTGAGAAGCCCCACCGCCTTCTGTGAAGGGGAACTGGGACACACAAATAAATCATACAAATAAAAATATCCCCCATATTTTCCAATATTTTCTGGGTTTTTGTCTTCCCCCCCACTTCCCATATTTTCCCATATTTTCTGGGAATCTCCGATTAATTGTGTCTGTGTGTTTCTTTTCCTCCTGATTCTGAGACGGCCTGCCCCCTCTCACCCCTGACTGCCCACCAGGCCACCCCTGACCCGACCCGAAGTCGCCGGTGGGCCTGTCCACTTCCAGCGGGGGGACGTTCGGGGGCATCGGGCATCGAGGAAACACGGTGGAGCCCGTGGGCCCTCCAACCCGAAACTTGGAGGGGTCTGGGACCTTCGGGTGAGGCTGAGGTGGTCTGGCAAGTTGGCGGCGCGCACACGCGGGGCAGGACGGGGGGGAAGGCTTCTTGGAAAGAGGCTGCTGCGTAGAGGGCGCCAGCCCTACATCGAAAGGCAAGGCTCGCGCCTTCTAAGCAGTAGGGGTGCTGCTAAGAAGCCTTCCGCCCTCTCCCTCCCCCCCCCCGCGCGTGGCCTTTCAAGGTCCCCCCTCGCCGCGTCGCCGATCCCTTCCTCTCCCCCCCCCGACGGCCACGCCAAGGCGCCCCGGACCCGCAGCCGCCTCACGCTCCGGAGCGCTCTCGGGCACTGGCGGCCGCCAGGACAGACAGGCGGCGGCTACGACCGAGGCGGCGACCCAGGAGCTCCCAGCGCCGCAATTTCTTCACACCTGGCGTCTTCGCCCGGCTTCGGGCCCAGATGCCTCACGGATCTATCCGGCCCGAACGATGCAGCAGAAAGATGGGGTCCAGGGCTCTGGCCGTGATTTTTTTGGGATGCTGCAGTTTTTGGCAACCTCGGAGATATCAGGGGCGCGCGACGACGGCGAAGCGGGAGGGGGTGGTGCAAAACATTTGGGGCAATTGTGTTGCACATGTATTGCGTGGGAGAATTTTATTGCATTTTATTGCGACGATTGTATTGCACGCGAAAATTCAACAGTACACTTGCGCCCTGGGATGTAATGCACGCCCCAAATGTATTAACACCCGGCAAATCTATTGCACCGAATCTATTGCATCGCCCCCTTGTCGCTGGACCCCCTTTCGGGTCAACCCGAGAGATATCAGGGGCGCGCGACGGCGGCGAAGCGGGCGACGGACGACGGCGGCGAGGTGGGCGACGGACGGTGGCGGGCGAGACCAACGACGAACGACGAAGGCCGACGGACGCCAGGTGCACGGTTTCCCCCAGGGCCGTAGGCGACCCGAGGAGGAGGAGGAGGAGGAGGAGGAGGAGGGCGTGGAGGAGGAGAATGAGGAGGAGGAGGAGGAGATGAGGAGGAGGAGGAGGAGGAGGAGGAGGAGGAGGAGGGAGGAGGAGGAGGAGGCGGAGGAGGAGGAGGAGGAGGAGGAGGGGGAGGAGGAGGAGGAGGAGGAGGAGGAGGAGGAGGGAGGAGAACGGGTCGCCAAAGCCCTTCGGAGAAACCCTCCAACGCCAAGTCCCTATAATTGGGCGGAAACATTGGTAAAAACCGAGACTGGCACGCCCGAAAAAAACTCCCGCCGTGGGGTCGAGACACGCTCTCCACTCTCCGCTCTCTCCGGTTAGATTTGTCGGAGTACCGGCTTGCGCAATGGAGCGTCGTACGACGAGCGGTGGGGTCGAGACGCTCTCCATTCTCGGGCGTTGGCAGAACTGGATTTCATGGGACCTGGTTCAATGATGTGTACTGGGGGACGCCCCCCCCGCCCCGCTCCACTAACCGGAACTGCCGCCACCCGAAAAAACAACTACGGCAGACCCGGTTTAGTGATCCTGGTCAATTTAGGGGCTCCAGGGCCATACAACTAACCGGGCCCCCTTACCTGGGGTCCTGGCTATACCCGACATTCTCCGCGCTCTCCGGCTGGAATTGTCAGAGTCCCGGCCTGCGAAGTGGGGCGCCGCGCGACGAGCGTCGAGCGAGCGTCGAGCGACGAAGTCCAGACTCCAGGGGCTCCGAGCCCACTGGAGGCGCACCTTGCTGAAGGCAGTGATCTCACTGAAGGCACACTCTTTTGGCTCACTGAAGGTACACACCCTTCACTGTACTCCGAGTTTCTTAATAAGCGTCGGGGGGGGCGTCAACCCCGCCGACAACCCCACATCGACCCCCGTCGCGGGTAGCCACCGGGCGCCGAAGGCGATCGACCCCCGTCGCGGCGCGACGACGAGGCGAGGTTGACCCCCGTCGGGGGGGGTACCCCCCCACGCTTATCAAGAAACCCAGAGTAGGCAAACCGACTGCCTCCCATGCTTTTTCTTGCCTTCAATCGAACGATATGTGGGCGACGGAACCAAAAGGGGTCTTACGCGAGATGGCACAGCGACGTGACGCGGCGGCTTGCGCGGGCCGCCAGCGCGGCAGGACGCGAGGACGCTTGCGCGCGACCTCGGGCGGGAAGCTTGCGCGCCAATGTCGGCGAAGACGAGCCCGTTTGCCATCTTCGCTCCAAGTAGAAGAAGAACAAACGCTATAAACATAAACTTTTGGCGCTCCGCGCGGATCTCCTGGATCTGCGCTGGACCCCCCACCCTGGCGCGCGTAGCGCGCCAGGGCGGCGCCGGAGGCGCCGCTGTGGGGGCCCAGCGCGGATCCAAGAAATCCGCGCGGAGCGCCAAACGCTTATGTTTATGGCGTTTTCTCTTCTTCGACCAAGGTGGGCAGCGCGCACAAGGGGGTGGAGGGAGGGGGGAGGGCTTCTTAGAAGGCGCCGGCCCCACATCTATAGATTAAGGCCCGCGCCTGCTAAGAAGTAGGGGTGCTTCCAAGAAGCCCTCCCCCCTCCGCGCGTGGCTGACAAGAGGCTGCGTCGACCACGGAGGCGTTGGCCGAGGGCGGGCCCGGCGGCCGAAGCCGGGGCAGGGCGAGGGGGCCTGCCGGCCGCAGAAGTGGCAGGTGAACTCGGGCACGTCGCCCTTCGGCCGAGGTGTGGTGGTGGGGGGCATGCGGCCGTCGGGGCCGTCTCGTGATGACCCTGCGATCTCTTATGGCAAGCTCAGGTGCCGAGGAACAGGTGCAGCACCATCAATGACGGATAGATTCATCGTATCTTTTTTGTGGGGGGGACCTGCGATCTCTCATGATAAGCTGAGAGGTAGAGACACACATGTCGCAACAACTATGATGTAGACTGGTCGGAGGTTCGGTGAGGGTTTGGAGTCCCGAAACGGTGCGGTGACATACCGTGCGGTGGCCTCGAAATCCCCCAAGACCTCACCGCACGGTCCGTCACCGCACGGTCTTGGGACCTCGGAAGCCCCAATCGCCCGAGACGTCCTCGGAGAACGACCCGAGTCCCACAACCGTGCGGTGACCCCGAATCCCCACCGACTCACCACACGGTGTGGTCACGTCACCACCCCGTTTGGGGGCCTCCGATAGGTGAGGGGGGCGAGGCCGAAGTGAGCCAGGAAGTCGTTCTGCCCCGTGCGTGGCGTGCGTGCGAGGTGACGCTGCGCGAGTTTCTCCTCCTCCTCCTTCTCCTCCTCCTGGGGACAGGTCGGGCCAGGAGAACATCTCGTAAGGGACAGGCGGGGCCAGGAGGCGTCGCTCCGTCAACGGCTCTCGTGCCCCCCGATGGCTCCAGGTGGTCTCCTCCCGGCAGTCCAGACAGGTAGATCATGGGATCGACGCGCTGTTTTATGGTGGAATCGGGAAATACATATCGAGCCCCGTGGACAGTGAGCCCGATCTCTCTCTCTCTCTGTCTCTCTCTCTCTCTCTATATATATATATATACACACGAACTAGGGCTGATGTGACCGATGCCTGTGTTGAGATCGATCGATGGTGGCTGTCCCGATAGATCCGCCAACGTGCCCCCTGGCACGTTGAGGCGTGGCATAATTCCAAGTGCTGCCCCGTTCAACCCAGGGCTTGCAGGGTTTCTGAAATAAAGTAAGTCGAACCTGCTTCCCCCCAAACTGCGCGTATTGGGAAGTCGAACCTGCTTCCCACAAAAATAGGTTCGACTTCCCAATGCACGCAGCACCCCTCCAGACCGCTGCGGTTATCGTTCCGCCCCCCCGCTGGAGGCTTTCTGGGCGGCCCGGCGCCTCCTTGGCGCTCCCCCAGGCGTCAGAAGTTGGCTTCCAGCACAGGCCAGGCAGGCCATCAAGACCCAAGATGACTCCATGACGGCGCAAGATGGACTCAAGACGGCCCATGATGGTTTCAAGGCGGCCCAAAGAGCCCTCGAGACAGCCCGAAAGGGCTCCTAGATAACCTCCAGGAGCGCCCGAAGAAGCCAACATCATTGACACTCTCAAAATGTTTGACAAGTTTTCGCATTCTCGCCTGTTCGGGCTTCCGTCCGCTCAAGGCGACCAAGGAAACCTCCAATGTGGTCTCAGGACGGCCCACGAGGACCTCAAGAGGATCCCAAGACGACCCACAAAGCTCCCAAGACGGAATCCGAAAGCGCCCAAACGGCCCAAGAGCGCCCTCAGACGGCCCAAGGAGCCCCCAAGAGCCTCCGAGGCGCCCCAAAGACGCTGCCCCAAAAACCGCAAGAGGCTTCCAAAAAGCCCCCAAGAAACACCTAACAAGTCCCTACGGCCTTCAAGCGGCCCACGGTGTCACACATGACAACATCCTGTGCCCCCTCGAACAATCGCAATCCAGAACGCTGGGCTGGCACGGCGGCGAGTGCCGCAAGCAGCTGCATAGATGATGATACTGATTCATATTCGAAGGGACGTAAGACTCGGGTTCGGGGGATCTGGGTTAGCCCGACGGGGCTGTCAGGAAAATGACGAGAACCATCGTTTCATCCCACCAACCCTCTGGGCGTAGGTGGTCTAGGGAGGCTTCTCTTCCATCCCCCTCCTTCCCCTTCGGGGAAGGATTTACCTCTCCCCCTCCCCCATCCCCTGCACCTGGACGGGGGGGGGGCGGCGATGGGTTGGAGCGTCCAAGATGGCCAAAGACTGCTCCAAGAGGGCCTCTGAGTCCAAGATGAGCTCCAAGATGGCTCAAGATAGCGCACGATGCCTCAAGATGGCTCCCAAGATGCTCCAAGAGGCCCCAATCACGTTCCAAGACGGCTCCAAGAGACGTCCGAGACCTCCAAGGAGACCCCCACCCCCAAGAAACCAACATCCTTCAAACACCTAAAGAAAACCAATCATCTTTGCTTTCTCGCCTTCCGCTTCCGATGGCCATCCGAGGCCTCAAGATGGCTCCAAGATGGCCCAAGAGAGCCCCATGAGAGGCCCAAGAGAGCATCAAGACGGCCCCCAGAGTGCCCCACGAGCGCTCCAAGAGGGGTACAGGAGGCGATTTTCGGTACTCCCGAGGGGGCAGGCTAATTGAATCCCCTCTCTTTTTCGATCGATGTCCTCCAAGATGGCCCCAAGAGCGCCCTAAAGCTCCCAAGAGCGCCCCAAGATGGCCGCAAGAGGCGCCCTAACGGCCCCAAAGGGCCTCCAAGAGGCTCCCAAGAGACCCCATACGAGGCCTCAAGATGGGTCCGTCAACAAAGCAGGCTAACCCGAATTCCGACCAACTCGAGTCTTACGTTTGCCCGACTTGTGCGATGTATTGATGGTGTGGTACTGGTAATCTTCGAGACTGTCTGCAAAACCGCCTCAGATGGCCTAACAAGGCCCCGGAGAGGCCCACGACAGCTTCAAGACGGTCCCATGTGGTCCCAAGAAGGCCGAAGGGACCAACGAGATGCCCCAGGAGAGCCCCAAGATCACTCCTGATAGGCAAACATCGTGTCATTTGGAGGAAAGCGTCTATTTTTAGCATATTCGTCTCTCAGGCCTTTGCAGAGTTCGCGACGGCTGAGGAGGCTCCCAAGATCGCCCCAAGACATCTCACGAGGCCCCCAAGAGGGTCCCAAGACACCAAGAGGGTTCCAAGACCCAGTCCTCCTCCTCCTCCTCCTCCTCCTCCTGTCACCTCTGCTACGCGAGGTAGCGGGTCTTGGAGGAGGGTGGGTCCTGGAGTTGTTTTTTTTCGCCGCTCTCGGGTTCCTGCAATGGCCCCGGGACTTCAACCATCGCGTAACAAAAACATCGGCTCAGGATGAAGAGCGGGTCTTGGAGTCTGAGGACCTGCTTCTCACCTCTTGGTTTTCGGGTCATAGCTCGGCTCTCCAGCGACCGTTCGGGACGATCCGGGCACCCCGAGAACGCCATCGGCGAGGCGCAACCGCTGAAAAACACCCCGAGGCCAGAACACCGCCGAGAACGGTCGACACCGCCCGAAAACGTTCAGCCTCGTCAGCCTCAAACCGCCCTGAGCCCCTCGCCCCCTGTTGTTGTCCCCGATCTCCCGATTCCCCCCCCCTCCCCCTACGCGGCCCTCTCGTGCCGGGGGCCTCTTCCGAGCCTTCCTCCTCGTCGTAGAGCTCCGCTGCCCGCGGCGGCGGCGGCGACGCCGCGGCGTCCCTCGCCCGGGCCTGCGCGCGCGCACGCGCCTCGCTTCTCCTCCTCCTCCTCCTCCTCCTCCTGCTCCTCCTGCTCCTCCTCCTCCTCCTCCTCCCTCCCTCCCTCCCTCCCTCCTTCCCTCCTTCTCCTTCTCTTCTCCTTCTCCTTCTCCTTCACCTCCTCCTCCTCCTCCTGTTCTTCCTCTCCTCCTCCTCCTCCTCCTCCTCCTCCTCCTCCTCCTCCTCCTCCTCCTCCTCCTCCTCCTCCAGTCAACCTCCAACTTCGCCATCAATTCGCACGCTCCCATCAATCAACCTTCGACTTCGCCGTCAATTGGCACCGAGGGAGCCGAGGACCCCCCCTACGGTCCAGCGGCAAACGAAAACGGCCGTAAAGGGGGGTGACCCGTACCTTCACCTCAAGGCACATGTGCCACCTACAATCAACGCGCCAAATGCCACCTACGATACCTACCCTCCTTTGGGCCGAGAGCGGCATCTATTCCCCTGCCGGCTGCCTGTGCCTGCCAGCGGCAGTAAACTTTAGCACGTGGGCACTTTGGCCATCTTCGCTACGCACCTCAAAGGTGACAGCTCCATCCGTGCCGTTCTGGCACTCATGCGGTCGTGTCCCGTGCTGTAGTGCTGTAGTGGCATCGTGCAGTCGTGCCCGCTCCCCGCCAGCCCTATCGAAGAGGCCAACCTGAAAAATCATCGTGGGTCGCTCCCCCCTCGTCTCTTCGGCCCGTGTTCTCGTCCCTCCGTCCTGCCCCCCCCTCCTGTCGCCTTTCTTTTCTGGCTTCTTCGTCCGCCCTGGTCCCTGCCCCCCGCCCTGCCCGTCCTCCCCCCTTTCGCTTTCTCTCCGCCTCCTCCCCCCATCCCGCTCTTCCCCGCCCCTGCTGTCCGCCTCCCCCCTCCCTCCTCCTGCCTTCCCCCTTCCCTCCTGGTACCTTCTTGGGTTTCTTCTTCTTCGTCTTCCTCCTCCTCCTTCGGCTCCCCGCCTCCTTGGTCGCAAACGTGTTCGGTCCTCGCCAAATTTTCCTCTGCCCGCCCAGGCTTCTGCAGGATCTGTCATCTTCGAGGCGGCATCGGATGCGCGGTGCACCCGACCCCTCCCTGTCGCCCATCCCCTCGGCAAAGACGCCAATATGCCCCCCGGTGATGACCGCCATAGGCCTCACAACCCTCAGAACTTCCATCAATCGGGCCGTTCCCAATAATAGATCTTCAATTTCGCCGTCATTTGGCACTGAGGGGGCCGAGGACCCCCTACGGTTCTTCGGCCAACGAAAACGGCCGTAAAGGGGGGTGACCCGTACCTCCACCTGAAGGCACATGTGCCACCACCTACAATTCAACGCGCCAAACGCCACCTCCGTATCTATCCTCCTCCTCCTCGCTCCCTCTCTTCCTCCCTCCCTCCTCCCTCCTCCTCCCTCCTCCCTCCTCCTCCCTCCTCCCTCCTCCCTCCTCCCTCCTCCCTCCTCCCTCCTCCCTCCTCCCTCCTCCTCCTCCCTCCTCCCTCCTCCTCCTCCTCCTCCTCCTCCTCGCTCCATGTTCTTCGCTCCTCGCTCCCCCTGCGCCCTTCAGAGCCGCTCTGGGGCCCCCGAAGCGCTTCCAAGAGGCATTCCCAGCGGCCCCTTAAAAGGCCCAAGAGGCCCAGAGAGGCCTCCAAGAGACCGCCGAGAGCCCTCCAAGATGGCCTCCAATATACCTTCGAGAGCCCTCCAGCATACCCTCCATCACGCCAAGATACCCTGAGAACAAGATACCCCAAGGTACCCCGCCCCATGTTGCTGGCAAACGGGGATGTTGGCGCGCCAAGTGAGAGCCGCTGGAACCCTTCCAACACATCCCCAAGGGGCCTCGGCCGATCCGGCCGGTCACGCAGCAAGACCTGGGCGAACCCCAAGCGGGTGCCCCCGCGGCTTTCCCGCTTGGGGCGGCCCCACGGTGGCCTCCACAACGGTCCACGACGAAGCCCCCCGGTACGCCCAAGATCGGATAATTGAATTCCGTATCCAGTGTGGCTCGAGCCTGGGCTGTCTTGCCTTGAGCACGCGGATGCGGACGTGGCAATGGAGTTGGCGAGTGTGCGCTGTCACAGACTCTGACCTCTGCGAGGACGCCCGACGCAACAATGAAGATGATTCGATTGAAATTCTGCGAAAAGACGCAACAGGAATCGAATGGAACTGCGGGGGCTTTCGGAAACCTAGCAAGAAACTCAAGTGGGCAAGGATGTCGCAAGCGAAATCAATGCGCTTGCGCCCGGTGCATCCAACAATGCAGCGAGGACTGAACGGACACCGCGGATACCTCAAGAGACCTACAATAATCGCCGAACGCGCTCCGGAAACCGCTCGTGTTGCAAGCACTCCTGCGCGATAGCTGCTAGTTCTCGGCGGCGAGCGAGGAGGGGAGCGAGAAGGAGAAGGCCTTCTCAGAAGGCGGCGGGACTTCTCAGAAGCCCTCGCGCCTTCTGAGAAGTTTTTGTCTTCGGGGAGGGCTTAGAACACTTCTCAGAAGGCCAGGGGCCTTCCGAACCTTCTGAGAAGGCCCGCCCCGTCTCACTTCCCCCCCAGGCGCGCCACCGAAGCAGTCCTGAACGATAACTGCTAGGTTGGCCATGCCCGGTCCCAACCCAAATCTCTCAACTCTATGAAAAAAGGTGGGGAGCCCAGTCGGAAGAAGTCGAATCGGCGGAGATCGGCAATGTTATAGGCCTCCATTGAGAGATCGGAATCCACATCGGAATTCGAAGCCGAATCGAATCGGAGTCGGAAGCCATCGAAGTCGAATCGAATCGAATCGGAGGAATCGAAACGAGCCCCGGACAGGTGGGGAGCCCGCCGCCCCGCTCGGGAGCCTGCGGCTCCTCGCCCGCCATGCCCACGCGGAGGCGTCGGATTTCTTCACAAGGGAGGTCTGAGCGATGGTGACCATCGCCAGCGCGAGGCTTACGTGCACCATTTTAACTCCTCCTCCTCCTCCTCCTCCTCCTCCTCCTCCTCCTCCTCCTCCCTCCTCCTCCTCCTCCCTCCTCCTCCCTCCTCCTCCCTCTCCTCCCTCTCCCTCCTCCCTCCTCCCTCCTCCCTCCTCTCCTCCCTCCTCCCTCCTCCCTCCTCCTCCTCCTCCCTCCTCCTCCTCCTCCTCCTCCTCCTCCTCCTCCTCTCCTCCTCCTCCCCCTCCTCCTCCTCCTCCTCCTCCTCCTCCTCCTCCTCCCTCCTCCCTCCCCCTCCTCCCTCCTCCTCCCTCCTCCCTCCCTCCTTCCTCCTCCCTCCTCCCTCCTCCGTCTCCCTCCTCCGTCTCCCTCCTCCCTCCTCCCAGGGCCAGACCTACGTCCGCAAGTGGCGGTGCCTGCGTCCGAGCTGCCGCCACGCCAACTTTGGCTTCAGTACGGAGTGCCAGAAGTGCAGCGCGTTGGCCCCTGCGGGGGCCTCGGCCCTACAAGACTAGCAGCAGGAGGAGAAGGCCCTGGGAATAGAGGTGGAGCAGCGAGCCCTGAAGGAGTTCAAGACCACGCTCTGGGAGCGCAACAGGATGCTCCGCGAGGAGAGGCTGTCGCTCGCGGAGGACAAGAGGATGCTGCTGGAGGCGCGGAAGGAGATGGAGGAGAAGGTGAAGGAGACGGTAAAGGATCAGCAGTCGGACCTGGATCGGATGCTCGCCGACACGACGCACTACCAGGGCAAGTTGAAGGAGCTGGGCACTGCACTCGCTGCAACGACGGGGCGGAGTCGTTCGCCCAACTTCCTGTGTCGAACGAACCGCTCGACGCGTCCTCTCCCGCGACGGGCAACGCCTGCGACGACCAGTATTTCATATGGGGACTGCGGTGGGACCGATGCTGTGTCGGACGTCGAGTTCGATGGCGACGCTTACCTCCGCATGCTGGAGAATCGGCTCTGCTCCCAGGACCTGGCCTTCAAGGCTTGGGCGGCGGAGATCAGTAACAAGCAGGGCGTTATCAATGAGGACAAAAAGGACATGAAGGACAACAAAGGCCTTCCAAGTACCTCAGGGGCTGGAGATGGACCTCACCGCAAGGCGAGGGCCAAGCAGAAGCTCCAGGCGGCGGCTGAGGTGCCCTCGACTTTCACCCAGGAGATGTTCAATGAGATGGGCATACAGTTGACAGATCTCCTTGGCAGTGACAAGCCCTCGGTCAAGACGGCGGCGATGCTGCAAGCCGCTGAGCGGCTGGGCTTCCCTGTGGAGGAATTCCAGGGCGTGAGCGGCAGGGGTAGGTAGGTGCGGTTGGCGTTTCCTTGTCGCCTCGCGGGCTCTGCCTCGAATTCTGGCCCGCGTCTCGTTGGCGGCGTGGGCGTTTTGCTCGGGGTCTGGCTTCCTCGTCACCATGCTGGAACCCGCTCGACGTCGGGCATTGGCTCGGCAACCGCGCTGCGGCGTTGGTCCGCGGCGCTTTGGCCAGCGCGCCAGCGTCCAGTGACATGGACGGTATCATCAGCACCCTCAGCACGCTCAGCACCCTCGCTCCTCCCTCCCCCCTCTTCCCTCCGCCCTCCTCCCTCCTCCCTCCTCCGTCCTTCGTCCTCCGTCCTCCGTCCTCAGTCCTCTGTCCTCTGTCCTCTGTCCTCTGTCCTCTGTCCTCCCTCCCCCCTCCTCCCTCCTCCCTCCTCCCTCCTCCCTCCCCCCTCCCCCCTCCTCCTCCTCCTCCCTCCTCCCCCCCTCCTCCTCCTCCCTCCTCCTCGTCCTCCTCCTCCTCCTCCTCCTCCTCCTCCTCCCTCTCCCCTCCTCCCTCCTCCGTCCTCCCTCCTCTTTCCCAAATCGGCGGCAAGCGAGGGGGGGACATGAGAGGGAGCGGCCCTCCTCAGGAAGCTCGGAAACGCCCCCGGCCTTCTGACGACATGTTCTGGAGGCCTTCCGCGACAGCAGGCAACAAACTTCTCAGACAGCGCGCGGGCTTCCGAGAAGTCCCGCCGCCTTCTGAGGATGCCCTCGACTTCTCGCTTCGCCCCCCCCCGCTCGCCGCCGAATCAAACAAGACACACAGAACATAACGCTCCCGTCTAAAGGGTCTCAAAATGGCTCGGGAAACACACATCGCTCAATCGCTCGGCAGGACCTCGGCACGACGTTTGGCCACATGAGCACTTTTCAAAAGGCAGAGTGCGGTGGAAATTCGCCGTGGGCGGCCTCTCCCCCCTCGGCTTTCATCTTTCGTTCCTCCTCACCCCCGACCTTACTGTAAAACTCACTCCCATCTTATTCTTCCTCCTCCTCCTCCTCCTCCTCCTCCTCCTCCTCCTCCTCCTCCTAGTCCTCCTCCTCCTTCTCCTCCTCCTCCACCTCCTCCTCCTTACTATGCCCCTGATGCCTCGCCCCTTCATCCTCCTCCGCTGCTTCTGCTGCTTTCTGCCCTCGTTGTCCACCAACTTCATCCCTCCTTCACCCTCTTCCTCGCCTGCCGAAGAAACGAGCGCGATGAACAGTACAGCTTGGGCCCGACCACAAGAAACCTTCCACAAGAAACCCAGCCCTGAGACCCCAGGGCGTCCCTTGATTTTTGGTGTGGGAACGTCGCGCTTTCCATGCTAGAACCATCGAAACCCAACAAGCCCAGGGCACCCCGGAGGCAAGCAGGGTGTTCCTTGACATGGGTCCCACCTGCAGCACGACCAGGAGCCACCCCCTGCCCCTGGCTGTCGCCGACTCCAGGAGCGTCGGCGCCGCCGACGTCGTCTTCGTGGTCGCCGTCGTCGCCGCCTCGCCGCCGACGTCGCCGTCGTGATCGCCGTCGTCGCCGTCATGATCGCCGTCGCCGCCGTCACCACCGCCGCCGTCAATTCCGTCGCCGCCGTCTGGGGGGACAACGAGATGCCGACACCGACGCTCCGATACCACTAACTGTCGTGACGAGGGGAGGGTAGCGGCACGCCGGGCTCATGTCGTGACGGCCCCAGCGTTGTTCCCAACCATCCTGTGGTGTTGCGTCCTCGTTTTGAAGAGACAACGCCCCGTGTCCCTCCCACCTCCTCCTCCTCCTCCTCCCGCTGCTCCTCCTCCCTCCTTCCATCCGTGCCTCTGCCTTCCGCGTGTCTCTCTCTGTTGCGGCACACGCCTCACATGCTTCGTGCCCCGTTGGGCAGCTCCACCGAGGGCTCCAGTGGCTGCGCCCGCATGGCACCGCTGCACCCGTTTCGGCACCCCCGTTCACACGCTTCGCTGCCCCGTTTGGAGCTCCATCCAAGGCCCCAATGGCAACGCCCGCATGGCACTCGGCACACCCCTCGCACGTTCCGTGGCCCCATACAGGGGGCTCCACCGGAGGCTCCAGTGCCAGCGCCCGCATATGGCTCCACCGCACCCGTTTCTGCACGCCCCTCGCACGTCTCGTGGGGCCCCCAAAGGAGCTCCATCGAAAACGGTCGGTACCCACAGCGTGGCACTCACAACTGCATGTGGTTCGCTTTTTCTGAAGTGGCCCTGGGACACACAAACAAATAGACACAAATAACAGGATTACCCAGATTTTCTTATATTTTCTGGGTTTTCGTCTTCCCCTGCTCTTCCCATATTTTATGGGGAATCGACGATTAATTGTGTCTGTGTATTCATTTCCCTCCTACCTTTCGCCAGGATTATTTTCTTTGGGGGGGGGGAGGGAGACGATGGGAGCGGACAGCGGAAGTCTGGGCAACTGTAAAGGCTGCGCGGCCTCAAGTGCACCTCCGCGTCCATTAGGAGGAGGAGGAGGAGGAGGACGAAGAGGAGGAGGACGAGGAGGTGGACGAGGTGGAGGGAGATCCTGGCATGCAACTGGCAAAAGATCGAGCAACAACATTCAGTATCGCACAACATGGCGACAACACAGTGTGACTCTTTTTCTGCACCCCAGCGTTGGTTTCTGACACCGTGTAGACCGTTCAACCTCTAAGGATTGGCGTTCTTTCGATCGCCAGCTCGTTCCACGTTGGCCGATTCTGGGCCACTGGCGGCGTTCAACCTTGAACGCCCGCGGCGGGGTCGCTGCCGCGTCGACACGACACAACATGAACCTACCGTATCAGTTCTATTTCTCCTTTCCTCTGCTGCTGGTCATCGCCATCGTCGTCGCCGCCGCCGCAGGTCGACGCTTTCTTATTCAGCGTTTCGACATTGAGCGAAAGAGGGGGAGGGGGGGGAGTCTGGCTCCGGACCTCTGCTTAGAACGACTGGTTGGAACGGTGATCCCAGTGGGAATCCTTGGGGAGGCGGGGCCTCCGCGCTCACTCCACCTGCTTGAAACAGGCGCCATCAAACAGCCAAGATCTACTCTATGGGGGGGGGGGGTGAAGGGGGGGGGCTGCGAGGGCCCGCGCCGATCGACAAAACAGTGAATCAGAAAACGACCTCTAGGCCGACGCCGACACTGAGGGGGCCCAAGGACACACACATAAGTATACACGAATCCCAGGATTCCCGATATTTTCCTATATTCTCTGGGTTCTCGTCTTCCCCCCACGTCCCATGTTTTCCCACTCCTGGAAGTCGACGATTACTCGTGCCCGTGTTTTTTTTTATTCCTCCAGAGACACGCCGCCGACGGCGGCGAGCCGAGCCGACGCGCCCGCGCCTCCACGCCAACGACGCCAACGACGCCGACGACGACGTCGACGACGAGGCCGACGCCGGGCCGAAGCGCCCGCGCCTCCGCGGGCCCGCCGCCGGCTGCGGGCCGCTGCCGCTGGCCGCTGCCGCTTCGCGGGGGCGGCACCTGGCGGGCGGGGCGCGGCCGCGCGCGGGCGCGCGGCGCGCGCGCGCCATCCCCGCGGGCTGCTGCGCCATCCCCGCGGCCTTCTGGGAAAGCGAGCGGTTTCCTAGAAGGTTGGGGGCCTTTAGAGAGCCTGGGAGCTCGTAACAAGGCTCAGTAGAAGCGGGGAGGCCTTTTGGAAGCCACCCGCCTTTCTAGAAGCACCCCGCTCTATTACAGTGGAGGCCCATGCCAAGAAGCACCCCGCTTGCCTCCAGGGTGCTCTGGGTTTCCTGGGCTTCCATGGCTTTGCGATGGAGGGCGCGGCGTTCCCACACCAGGAATTCAGGGAGGTCCTGGGGTCTCAGGGTTGGGATTCTTGTGGAAGGATTCTTGTGGGCAAGCCTCCACTGTACACCAGCCGCGGGAACGACGCGCGCGCGGCCCGCGCGCGCCATCCCCGCGGGCTGCTGTACAGTAGGAGCTCGACCGCAAGAGACCGTCCACAAGAAACCCAACCCTGGAACCCCAGGACGTCCACGGACTTCTGGTGCGGGAGCGTCGCGCTCTCCTCGGCAGAACCATCGGAGCCCAAGAAACCCAGGGCACCTTGGAGGCAAGCGGGGTGTTTCTTGGCATGGGCCTCCACTGTTCCTTGCACCGGCCTTGCAGACTTGCTGCGGCGGATTTCTGCGTGGATTTTTGCCCGAAACGGCGAGCGAAAAACGAAATGAATTTCGCGTGGATTCTTCTTGGCCTTCATTCCCGGCCCAAAGAACATCCGCACGAAATTCACCTCGAAATTGGGAACGAAATTCTCCAGGACACTCCGAGCGTCGCCGACTGCAGGAGCGTCGGCGCCGCCGAAGTCGCCTTCGTGGTCGCCGTCGTCGCGGCCGCCGCCGACGTCGCCGTCGTGATCGCCGTCGTGATCGCCGTCGTGATCGCCGTCGTCGCCGTCGCCGCCGTCGTAGCGACCACGGCGTAGCGACGGTCGAAGCGACTTCGGCGTCGGCTTCTGGCACCGCGTGGACCGCTCAACCGTCCACGACCAGCGGCCTCTCCGTCGCCACGTCGTTCCAACATGGTCCATTTCGGCGGTGGACAAGCCTCTCTTCTGTGTGCTGCCCACTCCCCTGATCGAGGCAATTTCTCCGGGCATCGTTTCTGGATGGGCTGGTGGGGTTACTTTTTTTTTGGGGGGGGGGGGGGGCGGGGGTCTCGAAGGGGATGGGGGTTCGTTAAACGATACTCGGCGGTGGACAAACCTCCCTTCAATTCGCCGGCCCAACGGGCCAGGGCGTGCTAAGATCTCCGGTACCTGGTTAACAGTATTTCTAGTTCGCGCGCGCGGGGCGGCCCCTGGGGGTCCCCGGACGAAAAGTACCCCGGCAAGGTCCCGGCAAGGTCGGGCCAGAGATGCCGGAGCCCTGTTACAGGGCCCCAGGACGGGCCAAGAGGTCCCCAAGAAGCCTCCAAGACGGTCCAAGAGGGCCCCGAGACGGCCAAAGATCGCCCGAAGACGCCTAACAGGGCCCCAAGACAGCCCAAGAGGCCTCCAAGACGCCCCAAGGGCCTTCCAAGAGGCCTCCGAAGAGGGCCCCAAAAGGCCAAAATCGTTGATTTTCATTGTTTTTTCTATGTTTTTTGCGTTCTGGCTTTTTCGGCTTCCGGACGCTCCAAGACGGCCCAAGAGGCCCCCAAGACCGCTCCAAGACGGCCCACGAGGCTCCCAAGACGGCCCCGGAACGGCCCAGGAGGGCCCCCAAGACGGCCCAAGTGCCGCCCAAGACGGACCAAGAGGCCCCAAGACGGGCCCAAGAGGGGCTCAAGAGGGGAACCGAGAACTGAAAAATCGAGCCCTCCGCCTCAGAAGGCGCCCAGGAGGCCCCAAAAAGGCCCCAAGAGGCCCCCAAGAGGCCCCCAAGACGCCCCAAGAGGCGCCCAAGAGGCCCAAAAGAGGCCGCCAAGAGGCCCCAAAACTGCCTCCAAGAGGCCCCAAAACTCGGCTAGCCCACAACGGTGCGACAATATGGGCCGGCGGAATGAGCGAAGCGATTAAATAAACAACCCTTTCATGCAAACGGCCTGGAACCGACACCGACGGACCCAGACCCGCAAACATGACGGCCGCGACGCCCTCCCGCGAACCGAAAACGGCCAATTCGCTCCTCCACGTGTCAGGGTCGGAGGCCTGTCAACCTCCGACCATGCTGGGCCCCTGACGGCGCTCAGCCTGGAGCCCCCCGCGACGGGGTCGCCGCCACGTCGGCACGACACGAAGCTGCCGCTCCCGCCCTGCGCTGCTCGGGTGGGATGGTCGCAGCGTCCAGGCCGCAGGGTGGTGCAGCAGGAGGGGCAACCGACGTGGGCGGTGTGCTCTCAGTGTAGCCGCCAACACGTGCGGGAAAGCAGGAGTGGCAGAGAGACACGGAGCATGCAGGTCGGCCAGCTAGGGGCTCAGAGCAACTGGACTTGCAACAGGAGGGAGGCGGATAACCACACCCGCAACACAGTATGATCAAGGAAGTGGGAGGAGGGAGGAACATGGAGGGAGGAAGGATGAGAGTAGAAGGCGGGGGGAGGGGGAGGGAGGCGGGGCAGAAGTATGACGACGAGCATGGAGAACGACCCCCCCCCAGACCCTCCGAGAATCGACCGCACTGGGCACGTCTCGGACAGTGACTTCGTGCTCCCACTCGTGAGACGAAGCCAGGACGAGGATAAATTCGGGTGAGGATAAATCGAGAATCTCTGAGATATGGCGGCTCTGGTTGATGTCTGGGGCGCAACGGCCTTCTCAAAGCGTTCTGGAACGCTCTGAGAGCGTTCCAGAACTCTACGGAACGGATTTATCTTCGTCCTAGTCTCGTCCAATGCCCCAACGTGAATACCGCGTTAAACCTGGCCGCGGCAGCCAGGTGACACGATACCCCGACCCCGCGGCAACAAGTCGGGCTCGCTGGCCGAACCCTATACTGGCTACTTCCCCTTGACCTGCTCGTGATCCTCCTCTCCTCCTCCTGCCCCTCCCCCCCTCTCCGCCCTTTCCCCCTGCCTCATCCTCCTATCGTCAAGGTCGGCACCGTTGCCCTCGTCATCGCCGCCGTCGTCGCCGACGAAGTCACCGTCGCTGCGGCCGCATCTGCCGCCGTCGCCGCCGTCGCCGCCGCCGCCGTCGTCGTCGTCGTCATCGTCGTCGTCGTCGTCGCGGGCCCGCGGCGGGGTCGGAGGAAGTGGTTGGGGCGGCCTGGGGCGCGGGCAGGTCCCCGTAGTTCTCCATGGCGGCCTGTGCGTCGCCCTCCGCCCCCCCCACCCATGGGGCCGCCGCCGCCACCGCCGTCGTCGTCGTCGTCGTCGTCGTCGCCGTCGCCGTCGCCGTGGCCGTCGCTGTCGTCGCCGTCGTCGCCGTCGTCGTCGTCGTCGTCGTCGTCGTCGTCGTCGTCGTCGGTGCCGTCGTCGTCGTCGTCGTCGTCGTCGTCGTCGTCGCCGTCGTCGTCGTCGTCGTCATCGTCGTCGTGCTCGGGGTTGTCGTCGTCCTCGGGGTGGTCGTCGTCGTGCTCAACGGCGGCCTGGGCCGCCACCCTTCGGGGCGCTTGCCACGGGCGCGAAATTTGAGACCTCACCGCTCCGCCACGAGGAGGATCACAGCGAGCCCGAGCCCAGAGGAGCAGCAACAACAGCAGCAACAACAGCAGCAGCAACAACAACAACAACAACAATACGAGCCTGAATCTTCAGGAGTCCGCGCCGATGTCTTAGATCGGCGCTGCACCCACTTCCAAAGCGCGCGGATCGGGCTGGGGGCGGCGCGGGGGGGTGCCGTCAGGGGGGCCCAACGGCGAACCTAATAGATCCGCGCGGACCTTTGTCAGATTTTTCTCTGGTGGGAGAAGATAAGAGCAGACATCATGATGGAACCTCCAGCCACCTCGACCTGCCGCACGGTAGGAACGCATGCTACACGACTGCGGGCCAGCATCGAGCGAACGTTCCTGGGGGAACCCTTCAGCGCATGGCCCCTGAGCTATGCATGTCTCCTTCATTAGACTATGCTTGTGCAAAATTTTCGCCTCCGAGGCCCTCCTCCTCCTCCTCCTCCTCCTCCTGCGCTCCCTTGCCCGCCCTCCTCCCCGTACCCCTGACGGCCGCCCAACTGGGGTCAGAGCAGATGGGGTCGGAAGATCGCGCCGCATCGCCGATGCATCGGCAACGTCGGCGATGCGTAGGCGACGCCGGCGTGGTGCAAATCGGGCTCCACGTCCAACGTCACCGCCGACGCACCGGCGATGTGGTGCGATCCCCCTGCTCCATCTAGCTCTGGCCCCGCTTGGGAGGCCTGGAAATGCTCCTCCCGCTCCCCCCTTTTCTTAGGTCGGGCATGTCGCCCTACAGGCGGATCTGGAACGAAAAATACATAATACCCCCGAAACATTCAAAAGATGTATTCAAAAATGGGCAAACAATCGTCCCCATACTATTTTTGTATTATTTTTGACTATTCCCCCTGTAGAGGGACAGGCCCGTGGCCGTGCGCCCTGGGAGTCCCAAAACGGCACGGTGACAGACCGTGCGCTGACCTCGAAATCCCTAGACCTCACCGCACGATCCGTCGGCGCGCGGTCTTGGGACCTTGGATGCCCAAGTCGCCCATTACTTGGCTACGCTGGGCTTCTTGATAAGCGTGGGGGGGTACCCCCCCGACGGGGGTCAACCTCGCCTCGTCGTCGCGCCGCGACGGGGGTCGGAGCGCCTTCGGCGCGCGGTGGCTGCCCGCGACGGGGGTCGATGTGGGGCCGTCGGCGGGGGTGACGCCCTCCCGACGCTGATTAAGAAACTCGGAGTACACACAGGAGTGACACTAGACACGAGTGACCTATGGTGCGCGGCCCAAGGGGGGCCATTCGGGGACACCACCAGGCGCGCAAGCCGCTGCTATCGCATCGTGTTTGGCGATCGGCGGGCCCCACTGGCCCCGCACCAGAGGTCACTCAGGCGAACGGCCACTCTTACATGCAGCTGAAGTACGTCCTCGGAGGAAGGCCCGAGATCCGAGACCGGGCGGTCACCCCGAGCCCCCACTGACTCACCACACGGTCTGGCCACCGACCGCACCCTCGTGGGGGCCCCCGACAACTGCGGCGCCTGGTGGCTTCCGGAGCCTCCGGTGGCCGATCGGGACGATAGGGCACCCATGGAACGCTCACGGCGAGGCGCATCCAATAGAGCGCATCCCGAGGCAAGAGAACCCCCAGGAACCAATTGGGCGGCGACAAATGGGGGGGGGGCAACAAGGGCTGCAGAACAGGGGCCCGGCAAGGCCCCTAGCGGGGCCCTTTCGGGCCTCAAAGGGGGCCTTGCAAATTCGAAAAATGCACCTCTTCCCCCCCCCATCTATCGCCCCTAATTAACCGTGATTGTAATCGTGATTGCAATCGGTTGTAAACGCGGTCGCAACCGCTGTAAGAAACGTCGTGTCGTGGTCGTATCGCCCGCCATTAAGCGACGCTCAAACCAACGCGACCCAGGGTGCACAGACACGTTCAGCAGACACGAAAAACAGTCGGGCACCCTCCCCGAATCGACCTCGATCTTCTCTACCTCGGTCCGACTGTAACCGACGCCCGAACCAACGCGACCGCGCCCTTCGCAGGGACCCCCCGCCCGAAAAACTGCGCGCCACAAGCCAACCCCGGCCGCGGCCGCGCACGGCTGCCGGGTGGGCGCGCGCGGCTTTTGGGTACCCCTGCTGGGGCGTTGAGGTTTTTTTTTTTTTTTTTTTTTTTTTTTTTTTTTTTTTTTTTTTTTTTTTTTTTTTTTATTTTTGTTTGTTGGTGTTGTCGCTGTTGTTGCTGCTGCTGCACTTGTGTCGTTGTTGTTGTTGTTGTTGTTGATGATGTTTTTTTGTTGTCGTTGTCGTTGTCGTGGTCGTGGTTGTGGTTGTGGTTGTTGCTGTTGTTGTTGTTGTTGTTGTTGTTGTTGTTGTTGGTGCTGTTGTTGTTTTTGTTCGTGGACTCTCACTACTGAAGAATAAATATTGTTGATCCTCCCTCCAGTGCGCAACGTATTTTTTCAATTAAGGTGCCTCTCCTGGCGCTCGGACTTTGTTTTTGTATCAAAGAAAATCTGTTCCTCAAACTGCGTTGTGGGCCCCCGGGTCACAACAACAACGGCTCACGCCTGAGACTCCCCAAAATTTAGTCAGGAGCCCCGCTCCCGCCTATTCAGGAGCCGCGCTGTCGGGGTTCTTTCGGCTCTCTGGAATCGCGCTCTCGCTGGAGACTTGCTTGCGGCTGCTAAAGAGTAGCGCCCTTGCGTTGGAATTCTCCGCAATGTATTCAAGCGCCGCGCTCCCGACACTCAGGCACCCAGGAGTCGTGCTCACGCTTAGGACACCCTCACACATTACTTTGGACTTGGGACCTACCTGCCCTTCGTGGCCCCGTTGCAGCCCTTCGTGGCCCCCTCGCTGTCCTTCGTGGCCCCGTTGCAGCCCCTCGTGGCCCCCTCGCTGCCCTTCGTGGCCCCTTTGCACCCCTTCGTGGCCCCCTCGCTGCCCTTCGTGGCCCCGTTGCAGCCCCTCGTGGCCCCCTCGCTGCCCTTCGTGGCCCCGTTGCAACCCTTCGTGGCCCCCTCGCTGACTTTCGTGGCTCCATTGCAACCCTTCGCGGCCCCCTCGCTGCCCTTCGTGGCCCCGTTGTAACCCTTCGTGGCCCCCTCGCTGAATTTCGTGGCTCCATTGCAGTCCTTCGTGGCCCCCTCGCTGCCCTTCGTGGCCCCGTTGCAGCCCCTCGTGGCCCCCTCGCTGCCCTTCGCGGCCCCGTTGCAACCTTTCGTGGCCCCCTCGTTGCCCTTCGTGGCCCTCTTGTAGCCCTTCGTGGCCTCCTCGCTGCCTTTCGTGGCCCCACATATGTATGCCCTTCGTGGCCCCCGCTCGTTTGGGCCCGTCGTGGCCCCAGATGCATGCCCTTCGTGGCCCCGTTGCAGGCCCCCTCGCTGCCCTTCGTGGCCCCGTTGCTGCCCTCAGCGGCCCCGTCCTTGCCCTCCGCGGCCCAATCTACGTATGCCCGTCGTGGCCCCCGCTCGTTCGCGCCCGTCGTGACCCCGTGTGCATGCCGTTCGTTGCCCCGCTGTCGCCCTTTGTGGCCCCCTCGCTGTCCTACGTGGCCCAGTTGCTACCCTCAGTGGCCCCGTAGTTGCCTTCTGTGGCCCCGCATTATCTGCCCTTCGTGGCCCCCGCTCGTTCGCGCTCTTCGTGGCCCCATACGCATTCCCTTCGTGTCCCCACTGTCGCCCTTCGTGGCCTACTTCACGCCCTTCGTGGCCCTGCTGTCGTTCTCCCTCTCGCTCTCGCATTCGCTCGTCGTCGTCGTCGCCGTCGTCGTCGTCGTCGTCGCCGTCGCCGTCGTCGCCGTCGTCGCCGTCGTCGCCGTCGTCGTCGTCGTCGTCGTCGTCGTCGTCGTCGTCGTCGTCGTCGTCGTCGTCGTCCTCGTCGTCGTCGTCGTCGTCGTCGTTGTGGTCGGTCCCCTGTCCGCCCCTCTTGGGGTCGGGTTGCCGCCGATCAGCTCTGCCGCTGGCCAGGCCGACGGTCCGCGGCCGCCCCGCCGCTTGCAGGGGCCGGGCCTGCAGGGAAGAAAGGTATACGCCCCACAGGGGGCACGATCGAAGACGAAAAGGGCGGGAATCGAGGGTTTTGGCCATACGCTTTACGGGACACTCGAGCAGATAGGAACGAACAGTCTTAACTTTTTTTCTCGCCGAAGAGTAATTATTGCTGATCCCCCATCACCGGTGCATGCTGTTTTTCTAAATAAAAGTGTGCCCCACGACGCTCGCACCGTGTTATTTGACCAAAGAAGTCTTGATGCTCAAACTGTGCCCCAGGCCCCCGGATTACAACAACAACGGCTTCCGCCTGAGACTTCCTCCACATGAACTCAAGACCCCCGCTCCCGCCTGAGAACTCATCGCAATTTACTCAAAATCGGTGCTCCCGCCTGTGATTCCTTCGCAATTCCCCCGCTCCCATCTGAGACTTCCTCACAATTCACTCAGGATCGGCGCTCCCTCTTGAGACTTACTCGCGATTGAATCAACACTTCCTCGCAATTTAATCAAGACCCCGCTCCCCTTTCACATTTTATTCAGGAGTTGTGTTCTCGCCTGTGACTCCCATGCGAATTATTCAACAATCGCGACGCTCAGGAAACACGCTGCGCCAAGGACGCCGTCACACTGCACTTAAGAATCGCGCTCTCGCCATACTCGAGCACCCCGTTTTAATGTCCCGCCCGCCCGACCCGCCCGTCCGGGGATCGCCCGCCCGTCGTGGGCTCCCGCCCGAGACTTCCTTCAGGAACGGCGCTTTCGCCTAGGACTTCCTCGGACGTTCACGCTCTTACCTTCCTGCTCCTCCACCCTCTCCCTCCTCCCTCCTCCCTTCTCCCTCCTCTCCTTCCTTTTCTCTTTTCCTCCTCTCCTCCCTCATCCTTATGCCTCTCTGCCCTATCCCCTCTCCCTCCTCTCCCTCCTCCCTTCACTCTCCTGCCTCCTCCCTCCCTTTTTTTGTTTATCTCTCTCTCTCTCTCCCCCCTTTTTTTTTTTTTTTCTCTCTCTCTCTCTCTACCTCTCTTACCTGTCTTTGTTTCCCTCTCTCTCTCTCTGCCTCTACTCAACCGCCCCCCTCTTCGCTCCTTCTCTCCTGGCGTTTTCCCTCTTCCTTCGTCCCTCCCCCTCCCTTCCTCCCGCTCTCCCTCGTTCTCCCCCTCCTCTTTTTGCAGGGCCCACACCAATTCCAATGGCGGGCACGTGTACGCCCACGAAGGATTGTCCGCCCGCTCAGGTTTGCCCGCCTGTTCAAGCCCGCCGCCCCGCGCAAAGAGAACGAATCCCCCCAAAGGGGGTGTGATCGAAGACGACCAGGGCGGGTATCGAGGGTGCGGGGAACTCGTTTTGACGGACACACGGGCAAATAAGAGCGACCAGTCTTATAGTGATTGTTGTTGTTGTTGTTGTTGTTGTTGTTGTTGTTGTGTTTGTTTGCTGTTGTTGTAGAGGTTGTTGTTGTTGTTGTTGTTGTTGTTGTTGTTGTTTCGTCTTGTTCTTCTCCCATTCTTTCAACCGCACATGTTTGACTGTAGCCACATACGAGGTTTCGGCGGCAAGCGACGGGGGGGGGTAAGAAGGGGCGGGCCTTCTCAGCAGGCTCGGAACCTCCCAGGCCTTCTGAACAATTTCCTCAGCCTTTCCCAGTGGATTTGGCGCGCGGTCGCCTAACCCGTGGATCGAAGGAGGTGCCATCCCCAAAATGCGGCCGGCGCCGCCTCGTTCGGTGGCGGAAATCCGCGATTTCCCATGGAAGCGGGACCCGTCGCGAATCCACGCCCCCTTAATCCATGTTTGCGATCGCCGGATCTTCCACGATGCGCAAAAAACACCGGCCGGGTAAACGCGAAAAACAATAGGGTACCCTCCCCGGGCCGACCTCGATCCGGCCGCGCCACAAGCCAGGGCGGCGACCCGGACACCCCTGCGTGGGCGCCAAGGGCAAGAACGCTCCCGAAAGGCGGCGGTGGACCGCGCCCGCCCGCCCACTCCAAGCCGCGCCCGCCCGGAGGGCCACCGCATGCTGCGAAGGGAATGAGGTACGATCAACATGGGTACGGGGCGAGTGGGTAATTGAGTATCGTTTAACCGATCCCCATCCCCAGCGGCGTGGCCTCGGCCCCACTGGCCGATTTACCCCCCCAGATGGGGATATAAGTCTTTCCCTTCGGGTTTCGACGGGTGTATGCCCAGTTGGGGTGGTAATTTGGTGGGGGTCTCGAGAGGGATGGGGATGGGGATGGGGATGGGGATCGGTTGAACGATACCGAATAATGTCTGCTGGTGAGTAACAAAACACAGGAAGATCGCGTGATGAAAAAATGGTCGCCGCTCGGGCGAACCGCGGGGGGGGGGGCGCCCGCCGCGTTGGAACACAATGCGGCGGCGCCGGTGCTTAGCGCCGACGCTCGGCCGACTGCAGGAGTGCGACAGGCGCGACGCAAGCGGCGCCGCTGCAGCGGATGGGGACAGCAGCGCCTCCGATGTAGCGGGGCAGTTGGGCCCAAGTGGCTACAGACAGAAGGGAAAGAGGAGGCGGGAAAAAAGGCCTCGGCTGGCGGGCGGTGCCGGCATGGCTACAAACAGGGAAGTGGGGAGGAACGGAAGAGGCAGGCGGAAAGTGCTCCTCTTTTTGTTTCTCCGTCCGCCACCCCCCTCCGCTGCAAAATACAACGACGGCGACGGCGACGGTGACGGCGGACGACGACCCCGCACTGCGGATGCTCCGGGGGGGGGGGGGCGGCGGAGGTGCTGCGTATGCGTGCTGTGGTCGTCGCCGACGACGATGACGGACGATGACGACGACGAGCGACGACGACGAGGACGACGGACGACGACGGCGACGCACTGCGGATGCGCTAGTGTGTGTGTGTGTGTGTGTGTGTGTGTGTGTGCTGCTTAGGCCCGCTGTAGACGACGACGACGTCGACGACGAGACGACGACGACGGCAGCGAGGACGACGCACTGCGGATTCCTTATGGGGGGAAACAGGGCGGGTGTTACGTAGGCCCGCGGTAATCGACGTTGACGACCAATGACGACGACGACGAGACGACGACGACGACGACGACGACGACGACGACGACGACGACGACGACGACGACGATGCCGACGTCAACAACGATGCCGCGACGACGACGGCGGCGACGACGACGCACTGCGGGTGCCCCACATGGTGTGTGTGTGTGTGTGTGTGCGCTGTGCTGGCCCGCCGTAATCGACGACGATGGGCGACGACGGCGACGACGACGACGACGGACGACGACGACCACGAAACGAGAACGATAACGAGGACGAAGACGACGACGATGAGGACGCCGGACGACGACGCACTGCGGATATGCCATGGGGTGGGTGGGGGGTGGGGGGGGGTGCTTGTTGAGCCCGCTGTAATCGACAACGACGAAGACGACGTCGTCAACAACGCGACGACGACGGCGGCGACGACGACGCACTGCGGATGCCCTATGGGGAGGGGGGGCGGGGGGTGCTGCGTAGGCTCGGTCCGCTGAAACGACGACGCACTGCGGATGCTCCATGGGGGGGGGGGGTGTAGCCGACGACGACGACGACAACAACCATGACGACGATGACGACGACGACGACGACGACGACGACGACGATCGCGAACACGACGACGACGACGACGCGACGACGACGACTACGACGACATCTGTGGCACGTCAGTAAGCGGCCTGAGAGGGGGAACATCTTCGCCTCGGATGTGTACGATCCCTATAACACTTTCTATACGGAAGGCAATCGTTTTGAGGCTGGAGGGGTACACGATCCCCTCGACAGCACCCGCGACAACCCCCTGGCGCGCGATCGTTTAGAACAAATTGTTTGGCGCCCCGCGGGGTCTATTCATCAGCCCTAGGGGGGCACATTTGTTAATCACAAGCTGACATCGCATCGGGGATCGGCGCGGGAGCGGTCGATCTCCGTGCGCTGCAGCGCCGCCTTGGCCTCCGCCGAGCGCAGGGTCACGTCAGAAGAACACAACACTACATGATTTTGCTTCCACGCCGCCTCGTTCGAAGAAACGGCTAAACTGATTTCGAGGATCTACTGACCCGGGTCAATCCAGACCCAGGTCAATCAGGCTTTGCAGGATCCTGCAAGTTCCAACAGGATCATATACCCAAACCCAGGTCAGTGCAACTTTGGCTCTGCAGGATTCTGCAAGATCCAGCTCTCTGACTGACCCCCGGTTGCATTGACGCCCGTCTCTTGAGCCCCGAGCACAAAGATCAGCACCTATTCCGTTCCACTTTGAGCAGGATTCGCTGTCGGTGTCGCCGCGGACGGCTTCCATTTGAAGCAGAAGTCGCCTGCCCAACAGCGGCTGCTGTCGAATTTGGGCAAAAGCTGCTGTTGGGCATCGAATCCATATTTCCCGTACCCATTTCGGGCGTATGTAAGGGAACGCGAAGGGTTGGCCGACCAGGCCCCGACCCGAAATCCTGAGGCTCCCGTTCGGGGATCCCCGACGGAAGGAACACAACCGCTGGTGCACGGGGCACGCGCAACTTAGAGGCCTCCCAGAGGGATCCGAGTAGACGGGGTCGGAGAATCGCGCCGCATCCCCGATGCATCGGCGACGCATCCGCAACGCTTGCGATGCATCGGCGACGTTGGCGTGGATCACATCGGGCTCCACATCGAACCGCACCCCCAATGCATCGGCGATGTGGCGCGACCCTCCGACCCAATCTTCTCTGACCGAACCACCGGCTCACCGCGTGGTGTGGCCACCGCGCCGCTCGGAGATCCCCGAAGGCATGACGCCCCCGATGGAGCGGAGGACGCCGGAGGCCCCGGCCCGCCCTCCCCCCCCCGCAGAGCTCGCCGAAGCAAACCTCGCGCGCGCCGCCCCGCGGAGCAAGCCTCGAAGTGGCCGGGCGCCCCGCGGCCGCCGCCACCGCTGGGGCCCCCGAGCGGCGTGGCGCCTGCACGAGGAGGAGGACGAGGAGGAGGAGGAGGAGGAGGAGGAGGAGGAGGAGGATGATGAGGTCATGGTGGGCACTAACTGAAACGCCATCTGCTAGAGGAGGCGGAGGAGGATATCCTTCTCAGGGGGAGAAGGTGGAGGTAGGACGAGGAGGAGGAGGAGGAGGAGGAGGTAAGACGAAGAGGAGGTAAGACGAGGAGGAGGGGGAGGATGAGGAGGATGAGGAGGATGAGGAGGATGATGAGGAGGAGGAGGAGCACAAGCAGGACGAGGAGCAGGGGGAGGACAAAGTCGACGCCGAGAACGACGATGGCGGACGACGGGGACGACGTCGGGGTCCACGGCGACGGACGACGGGTACGATGACGGGTCGATGACGACGGACAACGGGGACGACGACGGACGATCTCCTACGATTTGACTTTTCCCAATCTTCCTGTGGTGTTTTGGGTATTTGTTTTGAAGAGACAGCGCCCCGCGTTCCTCACTCCTAACTCCTCCTTCCTCCCTCCTCCCATCACTGCCTCAACCCTCCGCGTGCCAATCACTTAGGCACTCCCTTGGCCCGATAGGAAGCTCCACCAAAGGCCCCAATGGCTGCGCTCGCATGCAACCACCGCAACCATTTCGTTACACCCCTCACTGGCCCCTCACTCGCTTCGTGGCCTCGTAAGGAGTTGCACCGAAGAGTGGCTGCGATCGCATGCAGCCGCCGCACCCAAGCTGGCACACGAATCACACGGTTCGCGGCCGCATAGGCAGTTCCAACGACGGCCCCAGTGGCTGCGCTCGCATGCCACCACCGCACTCATTTCGCCATACCCCTCACACGTCTCGTGGCCCCATATGGAGCTCCACCGAAGGCCACTTTGGCACACCTCCACAGGTTTCGTGGTCCCACAGGGAGCTCCACCGAAGGACCTAGTGGCTGCGCTCGCACGGCACCACCGCACCCATGTCGGCACACCCCTCAGACGTTTCGTGGCCCCATATTGAGCTCCACCGAGGGCCTCAGTGGCTGCGCGCACATGGCAACACTGCCTCCATTTCGGCACACCCCTCACACGGTTCGTGGCCCCATAGGGAGCTCCACCAAAGGCCCCCAGTGGCTGCGCTCGCATGGCGCCGCCGCACCCATTTCGGCAGACCCCTCACTCGTGTTGTGGTCCCGTAGAGAGCTCCACCGACGGCCCCAATGGCTGCGCTCGCATGCCACCGCTGCACCCACGGCACACCACCCACACAGTTCGTGGCCCCATATGGAGTTCCACGGAGTGCCCCAGTAGCTGCGCTCGCATGGCACCGCCGCGCTCGTTTTGGCACACCCCTCTCACGCTTCGTGGCCCCACAAGGCGGCTCTACCCCGGACCCTAGTGGCAGCGCCCGCATGGCACAACCGCATCCATTTCGGCACGCCCCTTCCGCGCCCATTTCGGCACACACCCCTCACACGCTTCGTGGCCCTATAAGGAGCTCCACCGAGGGCCTCAGTGGCTGCGCTCGCATGGCACCACCGCGCCAACTTCGGCACACCTCCACATGTTTCGTGGCACCAGAGGGAGCTCCAAGCGGTACCCACAACGCAGTACTCACAGTTGCATCTGGTTGGGCCCTGCGCCAGGATGATTTTTGATCAGGGCGTCTTCCTTTGGTTTCGGTCCTTCCAGGCAAATTTCTGGCTCCCAGGCCATCACAAATTTACCCGGGGCGAAACACTTAGCCCAGGAATGGCGCTGGGACTCTGGGGCCGCGGATTTGAAAGCGTCACATCGGCGGACGTCTGGGAACGAAGACGAGGGCGAGGCTGACGACGACGCCCGACGACGACGAGGACAACGAGGAAGACGGCGGCGACAAGCGACGACGACGAGGGGAGGAGCACAGATTCAGGCGCACTCCTCGACTCTGCCTCCCCGAAGGCCCTCGTCGCCGCGACCGGATCCGCCTCGGCATCCCAATCAGACCGCGCATTGGGGCAAGCCTTGGCGACGATGGTGATGACGAGCGGAAGATGACAACCGACGACGTACGAAAATCGACGAGCGACGGCCGACGATGGACGGCGACCGACGATGCCGACAGCACCAGCGACGACGAACGACGACGATGGTGACTCCTGGTCGAAGCTTGTTCGTCCGGGTGCAGACAAAGTTGAAATCGGCCCCCTCCCATGCGTGTTGTCGTGGACATTTTCGGCGCAACTCGCGTCAGAAACGCCCGTGTCTCGTCCCAGTCCGCCCCTGGACGACGGGCGATGGAGGCGAACACCACTGACGACTGACGACAACGACGACGGAATATAGTAAGAAACCGCTACATCTTTCCTGCATCTGCGCTAGACACCCCTCGTTGGCGCGCGGAGCGCACTATGGGCGGCGTCGGAGGCGCCGCTAGGCGTGCCCACCACCGATCTGAGAAATCCGCGCGGACCCCCGAAAATCGGCTCCGTCGACGACCAATGACAGCATGCTCGTTTAACTTAGGGAGCCCACAAAGGACGTGCGCGCCCAACCACGTACATGAACACGGCCCCCCAATCCGCGAGACCGGCCGCGTGATACGAACGTTCGTGCAATGCGTACTCTTGAAGCCATTACGGATTCATGTGCGTATGCGTCAGTCTCTCGCTCCTGATACCTGTCGGCGGCGAGCGAGGGGGGGGAAATGAGAAGGGGAAGGCCTTCTCAGAAGGCAGCGGGCCTCCTCAGAAACCCTCGCGCCTTCTGAACAATTTTCTGTGTCTTCGGGGAAGGCTTAGGAAACTTCTCAGAGGCCGGGGGGCTTCCGAGCCTTCGGAGAAGGCCGGCCCCTTCTCACCTCCCTCCTTTGCTCGTCGCCGGCACTGGCTCGCGCAAAGTTTTGAGCAAGGCATCCCTCACGGAGCAGCCCAGCGCCTGCTTGCCCCTGCCAACAGAGTGCCCGTGCTCCGCCCTCCTGGGCCTCCCGGCCGGTCGCCGAGATCTCGCCCGCCCCGGCTCCAGAGCAGCAGGGCGCACGGCGCGCAAGGGGGGGAGCGAGAGGGGGCGGGCCTTCTCCAAGGCGGCGGGGCTTCTCGGGAGCCCTCCGGCCCTCTGAGAAGCCCTGACTACCTACCAGACCACCCCAACCCAACCCGAAGGCCCGAATTTCGGGTTGGGGGGGGGTACGGGTTCCCCACGTGTTGTTTCGATGTTCCCGGACCCCCCCACACTGGAGATCGATGGTAAATTTGGATGTTCGGGTTGGGTTGGGGTGGTTTGGTGGTTGGCGCGTGGTCGCCGAATCCATTGATCGGGGGAGGTGCCCTCCCCAAAATGCGGCCCGTGCCGCCTCGCTCAGCGGCGGCAATCTGCGATTTCCCGTGGAAACGGGACCCGTCGCTAATCCACGCCCCCTTGATCCATGCTTGCGATCGCCTGAAATGCGGCGGGGCTCTTTGGGAGCCCTATGGCACTCTGAGAAGCCCCCCGTGGCCTCGGAGAAGGCGCAGGGAGCTTCTCGGAAGGGGGCCGCGGGGCCTTCTTTGCGCCTTCCCAGGAGGCCCGCCCCGTCTCGCGGCACGAAGCGGACGCCGAGACGGGCGAGGTGCCCCGGCATCCTCCACTGACGGGCCGATATCCTCACTTCCCCCCTTCTTGTCCTACATTTGTAGAAGAAGAGAAAAACACATGAACATAAACTTTTGGCGCTCCGCGCGGATTTCTTGGATTCGCGCTGGATCCCCCTCCCTGGCGCGCGGAACGCGCCAAGGGCAGCGCCGGAGGCGCCGCAGGGGGGCCAAAGCGCGGATCCAAGAAATCCGCGCGGAGCGCTCAAGGTTTATGTCTATGTGTTTTTTCTTCTTCGAATATGGTAGTGGTGGTGGAACATTGGCCCATCACCCATGCCACCCGACTCGCCACTGCTGGTGAGGGGCAAAGTGGGGGGGAACCAACTCCAGGGGGGGGGAAACCTCGAGCCGGAATCGACACTTCGCCGATCGATCGGCGATAGGCCCCCGATGGTGCATCCGCAAGGTCCGGGGCGGGGCGGGCTATCAGGCCCCTCTCGGCGATGGCTGGGCGATTGGGGGTCGGTGCATCCCCCCCTGAACCGATCCCCCACTACCGTTGCCCCTGCAAGGGCCTGGCCCCCTCCCTCGTCGTCCGTCCTTGTCCGTCGTCCTCGTCGTCCGTCGTCGACGTCGACGTCGACGTCGTCGTCGTCGTCGACGTCGTCGTCGTCGTCGTCGTCGTCGTCGTCGTCGTCGTCGTCGTCGTCGTCGTCGTCCTCGTCGTCGTTGTCGTCCTCGTCCGTCGTCATTGATCTTTTCGTCGACCCCGTGCCCGTCTCCGCTCCCGGACATCCGCCCATACGCTTTCCAAAGGTCCGCGGCCCCAGAGGTCCCGACCCCTTCCCCGGGGCCAGCTTTTCGCCCAGGACCACCTTCGGATGGTCGGGAGCGGCCAAGAGGGGGGTGTCCAAGAGGGGGGGTGCAAATCATGACCGGCGGCATGTGCGCGGCCCCGCGTGGGGGCCAGGGACATAATGAAATAAGAAGAGGCGCCATGAAATCTGGGGAAAAATCATGGCCCCCGCCATGATATCCACCCCCCCCTAGTCATCACCCCCCTCTTTTCCGCCCCCGACCTTTCCCGGGGCCAGCTTTTCGGGGCAAACAGACCTACCTCGCTTTTGACCACCCTCGCTTCCAAGAGATACCAAGCGATGCCAAAGTACGGCCTGTACTGGTCAGGCCGCTTGACGAGGAGGCGCGTGGTATGGCTTGGTTTTGCCTGGAAGCGAAAGCGAGGTAGGTAATTCACGCTCTGAGTCTCCGCTCCCGGACATCCGCCCATACGCTTTCCAAAGGTCCGCGGCCCCAGAGGTCCCGACCCCTTCCCCGGGGCCAGCTTCTCGCCCGGGACAGTGTCCCGCCAACCTCGAGCCTCGAGCCTTGGCTTCCTCGGCGCCTACTGTGCCCCGCAGGGAGCAGACGTCCCGACCCCTTCCCCGGGGCCAGCTTTTCGCCCGGGACCACCTTCGGGGATGGACAGACCCCCCTTTAGCACAACGTGGTTTAGTGAAAACGACCTGAGGCCCAAACCTGGCGGGCGCAAGCCTGGAAAATAACGGCCGCGGCGCCCTCTCGAGAACCGAAAACGGACAATTCACTAATCGACGTGTCACTGTTGGGGGTTCTGTCCGCCCCCGAAGCTTCTCGCCCGGGACCACCTTCGGATGGCCCCATGGGCCCGACGGCGGCCCCAGGATGCCGGAACTCTGCGAACCGGCCGCCTCCTGCGCCCGCCCCCCCGCATCGGCCCGCGGGCCTGCCCGCTGCACCACCTCCCCCTGCAGCAGAGAAGGAGGAGGAGGGGGAGGAGGGGGAGGAGGGGGAGGAGGGGGAGGAGGAGGACGACGAGGAGGAGGGAGGAGGAGGAGGAGGAGGAGGAGGAGGAGGAGGAGGGGGAGGAGGAGGGGGAGGAGGAGGAGGAGGAGGGGGAGAAGGAGGAGCGCCGCGACTGAGGAAGGCACGTCGTCGGAGCTCCGGGGCTGTGCCCGAGGCGGCGGCGGCGGCGAGCGCGGAGGCGGCGAGGCACGGCCCGTGCGCGCGGTCCGCGGGCATGGCGAGGGCCCCCCAGAGGCCAGACGCTCCCTGTAGAACCTTCCCCCCCTGCGCCAGATTCTTCCCAGCCCTGCCCACTGCGCTCCGTGTTCTCCGTCCGCCGACGGGTGTCGCAGCGGAGTCGGAGGCCCTCCAGGAGGACCCCCGTCGTGCGGTGCGCACACCGAGCAAGGGGAGGTGTGCAGGATTCCAGATGAGAGGATGAGGCTGAGGAGGAGGCGGAGGAGGAGGCGGCGTATGAGTAAGAGGATGAGCAGGATGGAGATGATGATGATGATGCTGATGATGCTGATGATGCTGATGATGCTGATGCTGATGATGCTGATGCTGATGCGGATGCTGCAGATGTTGATGCTGATGCTGCTGATGCTGATGCTGATGCTGATGCTGATGATGATGATGATGCTGATGCTGATGCTGATGCTGCTGTTGCTGATGATGATGAGGAAGGTGGAGGACGAGGAGGGACAGCAGCAGCAAAAACAGGAGTGGGAGGAGGGATCAGGAGGACCAGTGGAAGACGGAGGAGGGGAAGGAGCGGGGCGACAACGACGAGGAAGGACTCGGATCCAGAAATCGTGGCCCGCGCTGGGGCGAGAGCGTCGCTCTAAACTACGAGAGCAAGTCGTCGATCCTCAAACCAGCCCATCGCTGCAACGGGAACACCATTTTGAAACACCGAAGACGTTCCGATGTTGGAAAATCGTGCAACAAAACAGCCTTTTGACATCCTATACACTAAACACACACACACACACTATGCGGGAGAAGATGAGCCCCGCTCGGACAGGATCCGGGGAGAGAGGGGAGTCGTATTCACATTGAGCCATTGTGCAAACACGAAGAGGTACAGAGGGATGGGCGGAGGGGGGCGAGGAGGATCAGGAGCCTCTTGCGCTCTTGGGGGCCTTTCGGGAATATCTGAAACTTTCTGGGGCTCTCATAGCCGTCTTGAGGATGCGTTGGCAACCGCTGAAGCCATTCGAGGGCATCTTGAGCGACTTGGGCCCTCTTGACCCCGTCCTTCTGCGTACTAGAACCCTTTTGATAATCTCCTGGGCCTGGTATAGGATCCTCCACAAGCTCTCTTGGGTCGCTTCGGGGGCATTTTGGGACGATCGTGGCGAATTTGTGGTACTCTTCGGGCATTGATGCCCCCGGAACCGTCTTCATGAGAAAGCCGTGGGGACTTAACCGACATAGTAAAACCTCATGATCTGACGACGGATCTAAGGAGGCCTCTCTTGGGACCGCTTGGAGCATCTCTTGGGGCCGTCCTGGGCAATCTGTATGAAACATCAAAGAGAATCTGGAAACCGAAATTCGCGGGCCCAACGGGCCAGAGGCGTGCTAAGATCTCCGGTAACAAATAGACAATGTTCCAGTTCGCGAGCGTGTGGCGGCCCCCGGGGGTCCCGGGTACCCCGGGCAGCTCCCGGCAAGTCCCCGCCAGAGATACCGGATCTCTTGTGCGCGGGCCTGGGGGCCTCTGGAACCGTCCAGGAGCGGCCCAATGAGTGGATAGATAGTTGGCAGGCCCTACGGCCAGAAGCCAACAGCGTCCCAAGGCGGCCCAAGATGGCCTCACGATGGCCCTCGATGCTCCCAGCACACCCCTCGAGGCTTCCAAGAGGCGTCCCAAGCGGCACAAATCATTGATTTCCTCAGGTTTTTGGAAGTTTTCAGCCTTCTCGCCTTTTCGGCTTTCCGACGCCCCAAGAGGCCTCCAAGACCGCCCCCGCGCAGCCCAAGAGACTCCCAAGATGGCCCAAGACGGCCCAAGAGGCGGCCACACGGGCCCAAGAACGCCCCCCCAAGAGGGGCCGGAGACACGCCCCAAAATCGCCCCAAGCCGCCCAAGATGGCCTCAAGACGGCCCAAGAGGCTTCCAAGAGGCCTCCCAAGAGGTCACCACGAGGCAAGAATCACTGATTTTCCTTGGATTGAGGTTTTCAGCCTTTTCGCCTTTACAACTTTCCAACGCCGCACGAAAGCCCCAAAGGCCTCCAAGACCGCCCCAAGACGGCTCAGGACTGCCCAAGAGGGCCTCAAGACGGCCCAAGAGGCGTACAAGAAGGTTCACGAACGCCCCACGACGAGATCAAGTGGGGCCCACGAGGGGCCGACACCTACAGATCGCCCCAAGCCGCCCACGATGACCCCAAGACGGCACAAGAGGCCTCCAAGACGGCCCAAGAAGCTTCAACGAGGCCTCCCAAGAGGGCCCTGGGAGACAACAAGTCATGTTTTTTTACATAGGTTTTTGAAACTTTTTGGCCGTCTCGCCCTGTCGGCTCTCCGACGTTCGAAGAGAGGCCCAGAGACGTCCAAGACCGCCTCCGACCACCCAAGAGGCCCCTAAGAGGGCCCCCAACGGGCCCCAAGACGGCCCACGAGGGCCCTAAGACGACCCGAGAGAGCCCAAGAACGCCCCACGACGGCCTCAAGTGGGCCCACGATTGAAACCACGAACCCGCAATTCGAGATTTCCGCCCCGAGAGGAGCCCGGGAGGCCCAAGAGCGCCCCAAGAGACCCCCAGGAGACCCCGAAGACCCCAAGAGGCCCCAAGAGGCCCCCAGGAGCCTTCCAAGAAGCCACCGAAAGGCCCCAAGAGGTCCCAGGAGGCCACGAACGCGCAAGCAAACACCTGCGATGCCATAACACGGGCCAGCGGAATCTTTTGTTTCATCGCGCAAAAGTGGATCGCGTGATTTACTTCGATGCGCGCGATGTCGATACCACATCGCTGATACGCCAAACGCGCGCCAAAAACTGGTCGACACGCTAATTGCGAACCAACCCGAAAACGTCATACTGACAGTGTAACACTGCCGGGTGACATTTCCTGTCGCCAACAGGATATTAGTAAGAACTTTCGATATTACAATGCTGACACGCTAAACGCGTGCCAGAGAATGGTCGACACGCCAATTGCGTGTCAGCCTGATAACACAATATTGAGAGGGCCATGCTGCCGGGTGGATTTTGACTACTATTCCTTGCGCCAGTAAGCCTTTAACAACATTGCGAGGAAAACAGATCGTGTGGTCTACTTCGACGAGCGCGCTGTCGATATCACAATATAGAAACGCCAACCGCGTATCAGGAACTGGCCGACACGGCAATTACGTGATAACCTGTAGAGACAATATTGATAGGGCCACGCTGCCAGGACACAATCTTGACCATTCCTGGCGGGCCAGTCACCTGTCAGATCGCTCCTCGAGCGAGGCTTATCGAAAATATCCCAATCAGCACGGCCATGCCTTTGTTCTGGCCACCACTCGTCAATGGCTCCTAAGGATACTGAATGCAGACACGTCCACGCCCGTCAAAGCTGCTTCGCACCAGTCGCTCGCGGCGACCCTGCGGCCGTAGTAGTGGTCCTGGCGCCCGCACCGCCTCGCCCAGCCTGGGATCACTCACGGTGCTGAAGGCGAAACAGAGTAAACGCAACCTCACTCACTCATTCACTCGCCGGCCGTACGCCGAAAGCCGAGTATACGTCATGCAATGCTGGCTGACGCCAGCCCTCCAGCCTGACTCACAATGAATAATTCTCTCTTCTCACAGCAACGTGTATGGCGACAACGACGAGGCCTCCAAATTCCAGCCAACGGAGAATTCTCATAACCACAGCACCCGGAAGCCTGTGGCCCGCAGCGCCTTGGCAAGCCCCGGCAGCGTGGCAAGGAGGTGCGCATGGACGGCGTGTGGTGGGTTTACAATCAGCATCCCCGATCCCTGCTGGACATCTCCTCGCGGTGCCGAGCCCTCGAGCCACATCTCGGCAACGAGCACGCGACCCGCAGCGAGGCTCTGGACTCGACTGTGCAGACTTGCGACCTTTTCGTGGTCCAGGCGCGGGTACCATAGGGCCACGCAGCTAGAGGGCGACTTCTGGAGCAGGCGCCTGAGGACGAAGACGTTCCACGTGTTGTGGGACTGTATGGAATCGTATGGCGGGTCCATGAGCACCAGCTGCCGCCCGCTGGGCCAAGGCAAATGCCCAGATGTGAGCCGTAGGTAGGAGTCCTCGTGCAGCAGCGCAAGCCGGTCACCTGCCTCTCGGTTCAGCAGGGAAAAACTCCGCCTCAGGGCCTCGTAGGGCTCGGCGGCGACTTCAAAGAGAACGGCAGTGTCCTGTGGCCTCAGCCACTGCCACGCCAGCGCAGGCGACCCTGGGTAGAGGCTCAGGGCGCCCGTGGATGAGCCCAATGCCTTGTTGCAACTCCACACCGCGGTCAAGTAGTCTGCAATCAGACCGCTGCCGCAATGGTTGGCTACGCGTGACAGGCGGAGCACGCCCCTTTCAAACATCCGGCATCGGCGTGACTCTTCAGAGCTTAGGTCGTAGACCCCAGAACCAGCGTGCATGTCGATGAAGGTGAAGGGGTCTGCGTCCGTCGCCATCTGCTGCAGCAGCGCCACGAGAACGATGTGTTTGAAGACGTCCTTGAATCCACCTGCCTCGAGGTCGTGCACGTACCAGCCGTCGTCTGGGTTATTGGCAGCAGCAGGGTCCACGCGGCATGCCAGCATCGACTCGAGCACGTCCAGGGCTTGGGTCCACTGCCCGTTGACCTCGCACGCGCTGATCCCAGCATTGTAGCTGGTGACGACGGGCTCCAACTTCGCCTCCCGCATCTCGCTGAGAAGTGCTAATGCCCGTTGCCACTGCCCGCCCGTTCCACATGCGCTGATCCCGGCGCCGTAGCTGATGGCGTCGTGCTCCAGTTTCGCCTCCTCTATCTCTCTCAGCAACGCCAATGCCCGCTGCCACTGTTCGCCGTTTCCGCACGCGCTGATGCCTGCATTGTAGCTGAAGACATCGGGCTCCAGCTTCGCCTCCCACATCTCTCTCAACAACGCCAAAGCCTGCTGCCACTGCTCGCCCTTCTCGCACGCGCTGATCCCGGCGCTGTAACCAACCAGGGCTGACCCGTGGACTACGTCCACTTGCGGGGTGAAAGGGTGCTGCTGCTAGGCGATCAGGATGAATGGCGTCATGTTCGCCTGCCACACATCGCTGAGCGAGGAGACGGAGGAGCGTCTGGACGCCCCACCTGGGGCGCTCAAGGGCTCCCATGGGATCGGGTCGGGCTTTGTCGTTGCGTTGGGTCCGACCTTCTCGGGGCGTTCTGGGGTCGTCTGGGGGCCCTCTGAGGGGCCCCAAGATCACCAACACGCCTCCAAGATAGCTCCATAATGGCCGCCCGCACAGGATCGGCGGCACCGATTCTGGGCCACCGCGCCGCCGACCCATAATCCCGCCCGACGCGCCCTCGGCGGCCGCGCGCGCTTCCGGGGTCGGCCGAGGCGAGTCTGGGCCACCAGAAGAGCGAAACACGGCATGGCCTCAAAAATCCGCGGAGAGGGCTCCAGACCGACAAAAACGGCGAGGGATTTTGAGGCCAAGTCCGGCAGGGAGCGCCAAACAAGCATCAGAGGCCCATGGTGCGCTGGGAGCCGTTTTGGGACCGTCTGTGGCAGTCTTAGGCCATCTTTGGCTGCTGTTGGTGCTGTCTTCAGTGCTTCTTGGGCCGTGATCTTGGGGCCCTTGGGGGTCGTCTTGAAGCCTGTCAGCGCTTCTTTTCGGCCTCCTGGACGCCTCCTGGGCTTGGGCTGTCTCGGGTGCCTCTTGGGTCGTGTGGAGGCGGTCCAGGGCCGTCTGAGGGTTGTCTGGGGCCGTCTTGGACGTCTCTGGAGCAGTCCGGGCACCGTCCGGGGGTCGTCTAAGGCCGCCCTGGGCCGCTCTTGAAGCTGTCTTGGGTGCCCCGTGGGCCGCCAGGGGCGCCTCAGGAGCCGTCGTAGGGCCATTATGGGCCTCTGTATGGCTGTCTTGGACGCTATGGAGAGGGTAAGCCCAGGAACTGCCAACATGTACGTTTCCCCTAGGGAGTGGGAAGATTTTTCAGTGTTCGGGCTCTCTTGGGGCTCGTCGTGGAGCACTTGGAGCGTTTTGGAAGCCTCTTGGGCCGCTTGCAGGCAATCTGAGGCGTTGTCGGGGCCGTCTGGGGGTTGCCTGGGTCCGCGTTGGGCGTCTCTGGAGCAGTCTGGGCACCGTCGGGGGGTCGTCTTGGGCCGTCCTGGGCCGCTCTTGAGGCTGTCTTGGGTACCCCGTGGGCGGCCAGGGGCGCCTCAGGAGCCGTCCTGGGGTCGTCGTGGGCTGTCTTGGGATCCTCATGGGGGCACCTTAGGGCGATCTTGGGGGCCTCTATGGTCGTGGACGCGTCGGAAACGAAAACCACGATAATGCTCCAAATGTGCGTTTTCCGAAGGGAATGGGAAGATGTTGGCCCTCCATGGCCGTCTTGGGAGCCTCCTCGCCTGCCGTGGGAGCTTCTGGGGCCGTCGAGGCGGCCTCTTGAGCGGCTCAGAGCCGTCTGGGCGTCTTGGGGCCCTCTTGGCCCGTCTGGAGGCTTCCCTGGGCGGCCTGGGGCAGCCCAGGGCCAGCCCGGGGCGGTTTTGACCCACTGGGTCCTGCGTCATTTTGGCACGCGGCGCTCCCGGCGTTAGTGTAGATGACGTCGGCCTCTAGCTTCGCCTCACGCATCTCGCTGAGGAGCGCCAAAGCCTGCTGCCATTGCTGGCCCTTCTCGCACGCGCTGATCCCAGCATTGTAGCTGGTGACGTGGGGCTCCAGCTTCGCCTCCCGCACCTCGCTGAGCAGCGCCAGTGCCCGCTGCCACTGCTCGCCCTTCTCGCACGCGCTGATGCCAGCGCTGTAGCTGACTGGGGCGAACCCGTGGACTTCGTCCACGTCATCTTGGGCCAGTCTTGGCTCGAAAAGGCCGTCTTGGGCCTGTCTTCGCTCGAAATGGCGAGGTGGAAATCTTTCAGAAACCATGTATAATCAATGATTCCGTTTGCCGCGGCTCGTCTGGAGCGTCTTCGAGCGGTCTTGGGCCGTCTCGGAAACCCTCTTGGACAGCTTCCTTCTCTTCGTCCGCCTTCCGCTCTACCTCCGCCTAAACAGCCCTCGGAACGTCACAGACGGCTATGGTGGGCCTCTGCGGTGTACGTCTCGCCGCCTGTCAATCCCACCAGCCCTCTGGGCGTAGGTGGTTTAGGGAGTTTCCTCTTCCACCCCTCCTTCTTCCCCTTCGGGGAGGGGTTTGCCCCTCTACCCCCTCCCCTGGACCTGGACGGGGGGTTTCGCGAGGTGTCGGAGCCTCCAAAACGGCCTCGGCGAGGAAGCCAAACTCATTGGTTGTACTGCGGTTTTGGCCCCGTTTTGGCCTCGTGAAGGGGGGCCCTAATTAGGCCCCCCCCCTTCCTGTGATCGATCTCGCCCACGATGGCCCAAAGATGGCCCCCAAGGGTGCCCCAAGATGGCCAGGATGCCCGAAGAGGCCCCCAGGATGCCCCCACGATGCCCCCAAAAGACCTCCAAGAGGCCCCAAGAGACCCCCCAGAAACACCCAAGATGTTCCAATAGGCCTCGGCGAGACTCCCAAATCATTGATAGTACTGAGGTTTCAGCCACATGTTGGCTCCTTGGGGGGGGCGCTGAATAAGATGACTCCAAGAGCGCCTGGGGAAACCCAAGATGACCTCCAAGATGGCTCACGATACCCCAAAATGTCTCGTAATGGCTCCCACGATGCTCCAAGATGCCCCAAGGCCGCTCCAAGAGGGCTCCGAGAGGCCAAACAGCTCCCTCAGGGGGCCCTGAAGAGGCCAACACCTTAGGGACATCTATGTGTGTCGGCTTTCTCGCCTTTTTGCTTTTGATGGCCATCCGAGGCCTCAAAATGGCTTCGCGAGAGGGCCCAAGAGAGCCCCACGTCAGCCCCAAAAGCGCCTAGGAACGCTCCAGGAGCGCCCCAAGAGGCGATTTGTTGGGCTCCCGAGGAGCAGCGCAAACTAATGTTCGCTGCTTGTTTGATCGATGTTCTCCAAGATGGCCCCAAGAGCGCTCCTAAGGTTCCCAAGAGCGCTTCAAGAGGGCCCCAAGAGGCGCCCAGGAGGCCCCAACAGGCGCCCAAGAGGCCTCCAATATGCTCCCAAGAGACGCTCTCCGAGGCACCCAAGACGCTCCAAGAGGCCTCCACTGGGGGGCCCTTCCTCTGTGTGCTGCCCACTTCCCTGATCGAGGCAATTCCTCTGGGCATCGTTTCTGGATGGGCTGGTGGGGTTACTCTTTTTTTGGTCGGCGGCTCCGAGGCAGCGGACAGGGAGCGGAAGGCGTCGTCTGGGCCAGCAGGCGAGGCTAATTAGCTACAACAGGCAACGCACCTGCAGTAATAATTCGCAGGAATGCGAGGTGTGCACATGCACTGAGCAAAATGCCCCGCATCAGGGCGAACGCACCTAGGCGCCAGCCACACGGAGGTGAAGCAGACCGCAGTGCTATGCAACGGAGAAATCCCTGTAGGCACCAGTCCGCGCAGCCAACCTAGCCGAAGCGGACAGGTAGAACCGAAGCGACACGCTGAAGGCTGAATCACTCAGCGCGAAGCCCGTACCACCGCCGTACGCGGGGTCGGCTGAGACAGGGGCGAAGGAAAGGCAGGGACCTACAGAGCTCTCACTCCAAGATCCACACCGCTGCCCGTGGTGGTGCCGGTGCGTCAGCCATCGTTTCCGAAACCAGTCACAAGCCAGGAAACAACGATGAAAGAGGACACGCAGGCCCAAGCGGCAGTACTGCCGCCAAGCGGGTAACGGCCGAAGGTCGCCGAGGTACGCTGCAGCCGCGGCCAGCTCACAGGCGCTGGGGTGTAGTCAAGGCTGAATCTGACCACAGAGAGAGCCGGGGGACGGCGACTTTTTTCCTGTTGCCTCTTCGAAGCCTGATGGCGGGCGCCGCCGTCTCCTTGGGAACGGTTAGTGGGCCTCTCGGGGTTTCTTCTCGAGCTCGTGGGCGCCTGTTGGGGCCTCGTTGGCTGTCTTGCGGCCTCCAAGGGGCCTTTTCTCTTGAAGTCCCACCAACCCTCTGGGTTAGAGCGTTTCCTCTTCCACCCCTCCTTCTTCCCCTTCGGGGAGGGGTTTACCCCTCCCCCTACCCCCTCCCCACTGACCTGGACAGGGGGGGCGGGGAGCGGTCAGAGCGTCCAAAACGGCCTCGCCGAGGAAGCCAAAATCATTGATTTGACTAAGGTTTTGGCCCCATTTTGGCCCCCAGAGGGGGCAGCACTAATTGAAGCTCCCCTCTTCTTTGATCGATTTCCTCCAAGATGGCCCCAAGAAGCGCCCAGGAGGCACCAAGAGGCCCCAAGATGGCCCCAAGATGGCCCCAAGAGGCCCCCAGGAGGCCCCCAAGAGGATCCCAAACGGCCCAAAGAGGCCCCCCCGAGGCACCCAAGACGCCGAAAAGCCCCTCAGGACGACCCTCTACTCGCCTGGGCGTCGTTTCTGGACGGGCTGGTGGGGATACGCGAAGCGTCTCGAATTTTTTTGGGTGCCTCTGGGGCCGTTCCCGGGCTGTCCCCCCGAGCCTCTTCCGGGGGACAGCCCAGGAAATCTATTGTGCTTGCGTGCTGTGCGTGCGTGCTCCTGTGTGAGAGGTCGGAAGGGTGTCCCGACGTCACCGCTCGCTCTTGGGAGCTGTGCCTGGGAGAGCTCTCTACGCTGCGTCTTGCTCTTGGGATCCTTGGTGAGAAGAGCTTTGTACTCTACCGATCGCTCTTTTAGTGGGCGTCACTGGGCCTGCTTGGTGGTCCTTGTGGGGTCTTTTTCTGGCCATTCTGAGGCGTTTTTTGGCTGCTCTGGGAGCGTTTTGGGACGTTTTCGAGCCTTTTTGGGCCGTCACGGGGCGTCCGGGAGGCCTTGGACCGTCTTGGAGCTCTCATGAGGCTGCCCGAGGCCGTCTTGGGAGCCTCTTGGGGCCCCCTCGGAGCTCTCTTGGGGCCGCCTTGGGGCCCTGTGAGGCCGTTTCAGGGCTCTCTGGCGCCGTCTTGGGGCTCTTGTGGGCCGTCTTGGAGCCCTCTTAGGGACCGCTGGCGTCTTCTTGGGGCGATTTGGGAGGCCTCTTAGGTGTCCTGGGCCGCTGAGGAGCACACAAGGCGGGCATGCCGAACATCTACGTTTTCCCACAGGATTTTGATGATTTGTGCCTCTTTGGCGTGCGCTCGGGGCCCTCTTGGGGCGTCTTTGCGGCCTCTTGGATCGTCGTGGAGCCCCCCCCTGGAAAGCTTCGGGCCCTCGTGGGCCGTCTCGGGACCCACTGAGGCTGTCGTGGAACGCTCTTGGACGGTCTGGGAACCCCTCTGGAGCGCCTCTGGGACCGGCCTGAGCGATTTGGCCCCGTGGTGGCGCCGTAAAGGGGCGATTTTGTGCACACGAGGTCCTGAGACATTCTCGCACGCGCTTCCACTGGCCATGTAGGAGAGATTACGTTGAGCTTCAGCTTCGCCTCCTTCATCTCGCCGATCAACTCCAACGCCAACTGCCACTGTTCGCCCGTCCCGCACGCGCTGATGCCAGCGCTGTAGCTGATTACGTTGAGTTTCAGCTTCGCCTCCCCTATCTGTCTCAGCAGCACCAAAGCCTGCTGCCACTGCTCGCCCTTCTCGCATGCACTGATGCCAGCGTTGCAACTGATGACGTCGTGCTCCAGCTTCGCCTCCCGCATCTCGCTGAACAACACCAAAGCCCGCTGCCACTGCTCGCCCTTCCCGCACGCGCTGATCCCGGCCGCGCAGCTGATGACGTCGTTCTCCAGTTTCGCCTCCCACATCTCTTTCAGCAGCGCCAATGCCCGCTGCCACTGTTCGCCCTTCTCGCATGCACTGATGCCAGCGTTGAGGCTGAAGACGTTAAGCTCCAACTTCGCCTCCCACATCTCTCTCAGTAGCGCCAAAGCCCTCTGCCACTGCTTGCCCTTCTCACACGCACTGATCGCAGCGGTGAAACTGATGACATCAGGCTCCAGCCCCGCCTCACATACCTCGCTGAGCAATGCCAAAGCCTGCTGCCATTGCTCGCCCTTCCCGCACGCGCTGATCCCAACGTTGTAGATTACTATGGCTGACCCGTGGACTCCGTCCACGCACTCTGCACGAACTGGCAAGTGATTGTGGGCATGCTTCTGGAAAACTGACATTACAACATGGGGCTCGACCCGCGCATTCCTCGCATGCTACTGCGTGCTGCTGCTTACTGCCACTGCTGCGTGTTGTTAGGAATGCTTCCCGCTACCTGCGTGCTGTTGACCGCTACCTGCTGCTGACGCTTGCTGTTGCTGTGTGTTGCCGCTGCTGCTGCCTGCTCCGTGTTTCGTGCTGCTGCTGTTCGGGGCGTCTTGGGCAACCCCAAGGTGATCTTGAGCCGCCTTGAGGCCGTGAGGCCAAGGGTAGAAATCAAGAAACAAAAACATGTGGGCCTTGTTTTTCCATTGATGTTCCGTGGCTGCTGTGGCCGCCCGGGGAGGTCGGAGGATGCGCGCGGGCTGCGTAGACTCGGAAGAAGTTCGAATGCACTGCGGAACATGCCCCCAATGGCTGGCCTGCCCAAAAACTCTCAGGGAGAGCTCTCCGACGAGTCGCCCATTGAGACCAGAGCCTATCCAAAGACGAGGAATAAACCTT